GTCACATTGAGTCACATGATCAGTTTAAGAGTACTGGGACCAGACCTTGTGCACTTCAATATAAAACTTGGATCAAGAGTTGTGATTAATAAACAGTATCTGACCATAGATCATTTATCCCTACAGAGAGAAATTTAGTTAATTGCTCAAATATGATCAATTAATGTAGCAATTCAAAATTGATTTATTGCTCTTAGAATCATCCCGCTTATGACAATATACAATTTATGCAAACAATCAATCTATGACAATATACAATATTATTGTACTTCAACACTGTACAGAAAATTGGAGCCGACACAATTAGGAAAAATGAGCCAGAAGTCGATGAAAAAATCCTTTGATGTATTTTTTAAGGAAAATGAAGAAAGTTTTGTGAATTCACTTCCAAAACAGTTTATTAGTGCTTTGATTAATACAAAATCAATGTCAGATTACACTGTTGCTGCATTCTTTAAATAGATTAACAGTTCCATTTCCCCTTATTCAGCATTACACATATTCTATATTCTCCTCTTTGAACATTAAAATTAGATAATTTTATTTTTAACAAAGAAGAGTTAAAACAGACTTTAGCATTTAAGACCCTCATGGCTTCAATAATGTGACTCCATGACTATTAACTGTGGCCACTAAACCATGATACAGTCCTTGACAACTTCAATCAGGATTGTCATTGTGTCACCACCAATCTGACTTTAGATTTGAGATTTCAACTTCAATGACCTTCTCGAGGTAAAAAAGATCAAAAAGGTATTTTTTCAACTTGCTTTAAACTTATCAATTTTTTTCAAAATCATGTAAAAATTCTCATAATATTATGAGCAACTAGGTGGTGACATTTTGTCATGTTAAAAGGTTTGTTTTGCAATTGTTACATTGTAGGTTTGATTCATAATAGTAAAAAGCTTTTTACTCATCCAAGTGGGAGGAAACAATGATGTCATATTATCTGACCTTTGGTTAATTTTTGCCTATTTTCTTGGCTGAAACTGACACATATTGGCATTGATTTTGTTGCCTTGAAGATTTTTTGTATGTTAGCAACATTATGACTTTTGATGTTACATCATTCATTTATCAAAAATATAAAATATATGTGTCCGTTAAGATTCAAATTCTGAATTGATGTGTGATAAGTTTTACCCATGTGACTTTCAACATTATCTTCATTATAAGTAGTCCCAAAAGTGGTCCCTTATAAGGAAAAGTCACTGTAGTCATAGACACAACTTTGTGTTTGGAGAGGTTTTCATTCTCTTGACTGTTTGTTCATTCATTGCCAGTATTTATATATTGATTTTTAGGCTGTCAGAGTTTTGATATTTTGTTTGGATATTGGTTTCTGAAAGTGATTCTGACTTGATTTTAATCAATAGACGATTCAAAACTGGGAAGATATCACAATGTGCTTTCAACATGTGGTGGTGCCACATATATTATGGCACCACCAATGTTATATATAGAGGTTCTTGTATGAGTACTTGTGCAAAATCGTCCATTGTTGATGAGCTTTGATAATTCTTCTTTACCGAGTCGAAGACGAAATAAAGAAACATTCTCAAAGGGAGTCAAGAATGGACAATCTTGCACAGGTACGAGTATAAGAAAGTTTTTCTCATATGACTATCTAAAGTATGCCATATTTTCATATTTTATGATCAAACTGAGTGAAAATAGCTTCAAATTAATGGAACTTCATCTTTCAATTGTTATGATGTCATAACAATGTTGTAGAATATACAGGGCAACAAAACCCTATTGTTATGACATCACAACTTATTTTTATAGAATGAGCATGGATACTCATAGCAACGGTGTATCCATTGTCATGTTGATGTTTATAAACAAGTGATGTCATAAGTAAATCTCATCTTGCACGTGTGACTTTCTAGGATGAAAGATGGCAATATCTTGCATTGGTTAAAGATGGCTGTATCTTTGTTATTCATATGAGAAATAGTTGTCAAGCTCGATCATGCTTGTGATTGATGTAGCATCAACACTTGTCAGATTTTGTTCAAATTTATACACATGTTAGAAGGTACTTCGTCTACAGCTGATAATATTTTGAGCACTTTTTATCGCACTTTGAAAAAGTGCGATATTGCTGTCGTCTTGTGCTGAATGGGTGTGCGGGGAATGTGCTGGCATGTGGATGGGCACCACATAAATCATATCTTGTGTGTCTGGCAGCCATTATTTCTTCAAATTCTTTTTAGAAGTTTTGGTTTTGATCTTGTTGCTGCTTCTTTTCATATCATCACTGCCTACTTGGTAGTATGATTGCGTTCATGTCATGTTCCTTATTAGTAAGTACATAGCAAACTTCGATTAGGAACAGCCCTATTGATTATTGAATGATGTGGTCTAATGAGGCTAATCCTACATTTATCATGGGGCTACTAAAATGGCCTTTTACTGGATTCCTGAATACATTGTCTTACTTTGAGACCAATTAGGTGCTCTGTAACCTTATGACTATTTTCCAATGTCATTGAGTGGACAATCATGTTAGTTGCTCAAGGTTTTGTTGGTTGGTTTTGAACCAATGTGACACAAATATTAGTAGTCACATCAACTATGCATGTTTCATTGTCCCCTGAAGGACACGCATTTCAGCCATTTAACATTTCCATGTCACCTCCACTTATATGGGGTGTTCTTCTTGGCAGGTTCTACTGTATTAGAACTTTTGAGCACAGCACCAACATCTCTAAACTATCTTAACTTGTATGACATACCTGTATTGTGCACTTTAAATCTTGTGGAGGAGATGTAGAGGAAAGGCCTTTGTCTGCTCTTCTCTCATAACCTTTTTGATTGGCTGCCTAGTGTCACATTTGATTAGGGGGACAATAGTACATTTGAGGACATGGAGCCGGTAATTACTGCTCCCACCTCGTCTAATCATATACTCAATTTTGATTGGTTAAGGAGTGGTCAATTATTTTGACTATTAAATGTGTAATTTACTATCTGTTAAGTATGTAAGCTTGAGTGCCGAAAGGGGAAGATCAAGGAATATACAGGGTGTTTCATAAAAAATGCAAACCACCTAACAATGCATATCTGTGTAGCAAATAGAGAATGACAAATCTTGTTTGAAGAATTAAAGTTCTTTCAATGTCCTTTAAGTTGACAAAGTTCCATCACTGTAGCATATGTATGTTCTATTTGCTGGCCATGTAAAGAACCTGCCCCAAATTTCTACTACTTTTCTGAAGACAGACGTGCACACTTTGTGTGATGTTGTTGACAACACACATATTTTTGGAACAAATGTTTCTTATCCTGAAAGATAGTGTGTATGTCAACAATCCCAGAACCATTGCAGAGCTCAAACTATAGATAATACAAAAGGTAAGGACATTTACCAGTCTGTCAAAAGAGAGGTGGTAGCCATTTGGAGCACATTCTTTATATGGGCAGCAAATGGGTCATACATAAGCTACATTGATGAAACTTGCTCAGCTTAAAGGACATTGAACTACCTTTTCTTCTGCCAAAAGAGATTGTTCAACTTTCACTGGTTAAAAAGATATGCATTGTAAAGTATGTGGGTTGCATCTTTTTTGAAACACCCTGTATTACAAAAGGCAATATCTTCCACAAGAGTACATCTAAAACTGTCTATCCATGTACCTATTCTCTTGTATATATATTCCTGTCTTGTACATTAATGGTAATGAGAAATAGGGATCGAAACCAGTCATAGTTTTCTCCTGATGACCATAACTTTGCGGATGGATGTTGTCCCTTTGATAAATATTGACATCGAGACTGGATTTTATCTGTCCCACATCATTTTAGAATGAATGCCCTATCTGTATGAATGAAATGCCCTTGGTTTATGGTCCTGGATTGTGATAATGGATCTTGAATTGTTGGGGAGTGGGGTATTAGACATTGTTTCTTTTTACGTTGGATTAGGATAGTTTTTTCTTCTTATGACTGCTGTACACTTGGCTGTTTTCTTTTTTCAAGCTGGGTTCTGAATCTATTTTATGTGTCCTTTCCCTTTGACACTTGTGCATACATCTTGCTATACTTTGTATGTTGACATGAAGTTTATATTAGGTGATAAAATAAAAAATTTAGTTGATGTTCTTCCTTGGTCCATTTTTTAGTTTTCATCTGTTTTATTATAGAGTTCATTAATCAAGTTTAAGACCATATAGCAATAATTGTATACGGTTAAATATAGTCTGTTGTGCACATCTTCAGCTGTAATAATGTCATCAATGAAAGTAAAATCATTACTAAGCAATGGGTCTGGAGCGATAAACACCACCATAATTCTATTTTATTGTGCATTAAACCAGATTGGGTGCTGTGTAATACTGCAGAATGATATCAGTTTTATAGCATTTGACACGTGATTTTGATCATGAAAGGAACTTAAGTAACTGTAATACTTTTTAGTGAAATAATTGAACTCAACGGTTCATTTAGCAGGAACTTTTGTATGTTGTCTGCAGGTTTCACAGTGGCACATTTTCCAGTCAATGTAAATAAATATTTGAAACATTGAAAATGACATCCTTTTGAAAAATGGAGGAATAAAGCTGTCTTGGTCAATCTCACTCTGGAAATATCTATGCAATGAGCAAAATAACTCCCAACAATTTTATCTGTGTCTGTACAAAGGTTACATCCATGCTGAGATTGCTCCATCAGCCACTCTATTTGAATTATAAAAAGGCCCAAAAGACCCATTACTTTTAGCAGACCTGTGCACTAGAATTACAATTACTGAAAAACTTAATATTAATAAGAATTTGTCTTATAAGTGAGGGTTCTGTTTAGAGGATGAGAATATATTTGGATCCATGAAAGCAACTTAGCAGGATTCAGTAAGATTTCTATCGAGGCATGCAGTGTAAAACTGCCTTAATTATCTTTGCATCGTATACATTCATATTGTATTGTATTTCCATATTTTATATGTTCATATTGTATATTTCCATATTGTATATGTTCATATTATATATTTTCAGTTGTGTTACCAAGACTGGCCAAACTAGCAGCCCAAAACAATGCAGTAACCAATCAGACTAGAAAGAGAGATGTTGCCATGCAACTGTTTGAAGCGTACAGTGCACTGTCATGTTGTTGTATCCTTTTTTTAATGATGGATATATAAATGAGAGTTTTGCTAAAAGGGTGGTATGGGGGTTTACGCCTGAATTTTTTTGGTGACAAAAAATAAGAAAATCTGCAATTTGGTGATATTAGTTTATTTTCTGAATCAACAGTTGGCTATTTGTTATGAAATTAACAGATACCTTTATACAGATGTTAAAGAAAAGGTTATTTAGAAAGAATATTTAAAAGAATTTAGGGATTTGATGGAAATATGGTTAAGTTGTATTCCAGTATGGGCCACTAATGCGTATTGTGCAGTCATTTTGAATTATGAAAGCACATGGGGTATATGTCTATCTGATTTCGATATTAATATGTTCGGGACTGATCATATTGGCAATCCCTTTGATAATTTGGGGTACTTTCAACACCAAATTACCATCACTGTTTCAAACATTCTCCCACTCGCTTGTTGTATTGATTTCTACTTTATAGAGTACAGAGGTACACACTAAATTCTTCATTATTAAACATCTGGTAATAAATGCCTATTAAACATCCAGCTCTATAATATACTGAAGTGATTTCCCAATTGTGAGTTTCATTTTATGTTTGGTGGAAGTCTATCAGAGAGGTTCAAGAATTATTGCATTTCCTATGAAATTATTGGATATTGTTCTAGAGTTATTGCATATCATTCAAGAGTTATTGCATTTAATTCAAGATTTATTGAACAGCATATCAAAAATGGTTACAGAACACAGTAAGAATTGAAAGCATTATATAGTACACGAAACATAAGGAAACAAATCCCAACAATCCCAAATCATAACCCAACAGGAAAAGAAACAGTGTCTAATACCCCTTCCCCACCATTCAAGTATGAATATCACAATCCATGAGATGCGTGTTCTGATTAGAGCGGTGCTAGGATATACAGGTTTGACTGTTGAGTCTCTTTTAGAGTTTCATATATTTATATATGCCATCTTCATTGAGATTCACAAGAGAATATGCCAAGTTGAAACCTGTACGATTAGTTAAGTACAATTTACTAGCTTTAGATGAGCATATAATCTGTTATAGTTTATCAATGTCTGTGGTAATTATCAAGTTTGATAATTTGAAGACATTCTATTTCTGTTTTCTGTCACTGGAATTCACAGACAGATATTAGATGTCGTTGATTATGATTCGAGTAATTGAAATCACTAATTGATATCAGAATGTGAGCGCAAAGTTGGTGAAACTGATATTAAAAATAGGAATAAATTGAATACTTGCAGATATACAGAATATAAAAATATCAAAACTGACAAAATATGACACTATTGTATATTAATCACTATTCTAGTATTTCATAAATGATTGCGCCATTTTCCAGACAGTATGAAATAATACTCAAGAGAAACATGCTTCTGTCTAAAACACTCTGAATGAATTCACAAGGCTGATCCAGTTAGTGGAGCTTACAGTTCTGATAATAAAACAAGGTCTAAAATACTTGTTCGACTTTGTATTCTTGATGGCTATTTGCTAATGAAGGAAACACCTTGAAGCTGTACAATCACTCTAATGCCTCACAAGCGATGTTACGGCATTCATTACTGAAGATTTACACTTAGAGATGTAGCTGGGAAGTCCAATTGAACATCACATTGCTAATTGACAATTACATCCAGATACAAACCAAGAATGTTAAAGATTTAATCTGAAGATCCTTCAAATGCAGGGGAATTTAGACATATGCTTGAGAATTTATCCAAATACAGGGGAATTTCTCCAAATGCTGGGGAATTAATCAAAATGTGTGAGAATTCCTCCAAATACGACAGAATTCCTCCAAATTGGGAATTTCTCCAAATGCTAGGGAATTAATCAAAATGTGTGAGAATTCCTCCAAATGTAGGGGAATTCATCCAAAATTGGATTTTCTCCAAATGATGGGGTATTAATCAAAATGTGTGAGAATTCCTCCAAATGCAGGGGAATTCATCCAAAATGGGAATTCCTCCAAATGCTGGGGAATTAATCAAAATACATGAGAATTCCTCCAAATGCAGGGGAATTCATCCAAATGCATGGAAGTTTCTCCAAATGCTTGGGAATTTCTCCTAAAGCAGGATAATTCAGCCAAATATTGAGAATTAAGCCAAAGGATTTAATCAATCCAAATGCAGCCAGGTTATAGAGTTATATTATGTAGAATTGATTCCAACAAGTTTTTGATTGCACAAAATGTGTCTACAATAGAAAAATATATTTTGGAACTAAACACAAAATTAAAGAATAATCTTATGACAATCTAGGAGTCATCTATAATCTAGGAGATTATCTCGAGTGCCCAGACATCACAGAAATATTAACAAGGCATTAACATGCAAAATATTTACAGATGCTGAAGGCCAACCACCTACCACTGAACACCAAACACCATCCATAAAAATATATATATATAAAAGACTTTTAGTTGAAGATAATATGTCATGTATGTCACCACTTATCATAGTGGTGACATAAAAATCTTGTAATTTGGCACTTAACAAAAGTATTCTGACCTTTTAGAACTGGTGGTAAAGGCTGCATTTTTGTACATGCTTTTTTGACTGAGCAAATATTTATCCTAAAAATAAGCTCGATTGTGGTTATATGTGCTAAATACCACTGTGTAAAACAAATACATATTATGCAACTGTATCATATCCACTTGCACCGTAGACCATACTCATACAAAAATATGCCCAAAGATTTCCAAACCTACTTTTCATTCATCTGTTTTTCATACACATGAACTATCAATATGAGATTGTTCTGATAATCAAATAAAATAAATATTTGAGATGAAACAGTAATGAAATCTTAAAGGAGCAGTCCACTACATTGTATATCATCAATCAACCTGATTGATCTAATAGAGGTAAAGGTCAACTTGGTATGGCTTCAAAATATTCATTTTCTAATAGCTTGTTTGATAACAGGGCATGCCTAATTAACTTTGACAGTTATGCTTCTCCCAATAGATTTATGAGATCGCTGGGGTATAAGATAGTTAACTGCATGCTCTTAGTATATTGTGGATTAATAAATGATATTTCCATAAATAACCCTCACCATTATCATTTAAAGTTACCCATGTAGACATTAATTTGGGATAATAAAAGTGATGAGACAAGAAGATACGCATCAGTTGAGTTGAGCTTTTGCATTGGCTTATCATGATGTTATTTTTTGAGTTTGTTGCAACACTGAACATTGATCGAAAACACGGGTGACATCTTTCAATGTAAATATAAGCAATAATCATTTCCAACCAGTAATGTATGGTTGTTTGTTTCCTTGACAACATACCAGTTATCAGTGATCAGCTGATCCAGGTGACCATGATCCCGGGATTACTTTATCTGCTGCAGGATATGCAGCAAGTTGCCCCAGAACATGAACCAATCATATCATCTATGATTAAAGAATTTGAAGCCAAAGTTGAAGCATCACGACAAGCAACGTAAGTACATTACACTTCATTTTATTTTACTTAAATATTCATGTTATATTTTCCTTTTTGTGTGGGAAGCCTGAAGCAACAGTACTAATGATGTCAGTTTTGCATTCATATGAGCCAGTAACATTTTTAAACAAGGTCTGGTCAATTCATACTCTTTTTGGAAAAATAAAGGTTTGGGGTTTCAATACAGTAGTGCATGTTCGTTTAATATGATTATTATCAATTTTGTTGTTTTTGCATGTAGGGGTCGTGAGAGATCAGGGAGCCATAAAAATGCTCCCCCAACACCTACTATGGGAAAACCAAAGAGACAAGTGTGGGTGTCCATTTATAACAACCTTAAGCCGCAGCATCACCACAATTACCCATCTATTACCCCAATTCATAATTATGCTATATTTAGCTTTCTGCACAATACAACAAAGTCTTGTCGATGAACATTTGAACATGAAAACTCTCCAAAATTTTTTGAATATTCATGATTGCCTGCCAATAACTACGACCTGCTGTTATGACGTCACATATTACTCATATTACCAGGTGCTGTGTCCACGAATACATACCAGGTGTAAATTGACTTTGTTTACAGCTTTTAGAAGGCTTGAATACAGACAGTCATGTTCGAATCCTGTATACAAACCAATCTGCACATTCCTTAAAAAGACGTTCCCTAGCTTGATCACTAGTCTAGATACAGGCCCTTGTAACCCTCAGTCCACTACACATTCCCACATCTGGCCCGTAGCCAGGATTTACCAAGGGGGGGGGTCACTTTTTGGAAAATTCCAGGGGGGTTCACTTGTGACAATTTTGGTCCAAAAATGGCCAAAATCACTTAAAAAGTGCTCAGAATGCTGAAAACTGCATGATTTTGAAAGAAATTTTGGCCAGGGGTGTTCGCTCGAACCCATCGAACCCCCCTGGCTACGGGCCTGAGTATATAAGGGTGCCTTTAGGGACTTGACTTGGTCACACTTTACATACGACACTTGACATATGATAAGACATATTTAGACCATACACACAATCCAGATGCTTTTAAACCTCAGATATAGACAAGAACTTTAGGTTTATACACAAAAGACAAATGACCAGTCTGTAAAAGTTGTTCAGAGTGCAATACAAGTAACTGTATATAATAGGATTTTATTTGTACTGATGCCCTTTAGGGCCAAAGGTACATCCAACATACAATTTCAAAATTATACATGTTATAGAACTTTGCTCCAAGTAGGCCATTTTGAGAAAAAGATAGGAGTTTTTTAAAATGCTCATCAAAATACTCCATACACAAAGGTGCTTCAAATATGATACACTATCAAAACTTCATAAAGTCTTGTTACTTCAGGTTATGCATATGTAAATAATTAGAGTCTAATCCATACCTGCCATATTGCCTTCTCTCCAATGATCTAAAGCACCATTTGAGATTTTTGTTAGATGGTCTTGGACACAAATCTTTGAATGGTGCATATAATTAGTTAAAATCTATCAAACTTATTTAAGGCAATGTACATTTTAAACCAGTTCTTAGTTAACTTTACAAAGCTCTTAGTGACTTGCATAGATGGCATTAGTTACAATTAAGCTGTTGCCCATTCTGCAGTGTAACTATTTTTTCAAGATTTTAATTAGTTCAATATTTTATCTATTGATAGTCAGATTCAATTTTTCTATTCTTATCTCTTTCTTTTCCAGATCTGATTCTGATGGTGGCAGTCTCCATGGTTCAGGAGAACATGGTAATGTTGGTTCCCGTATGTACAGCAAATTCAAAGACTTCTCCATACCTGGTAAATCTACAGTCACTGGCATGTTCAGGAAGAAGGATAAACCATAGTGTTACCATAGCAACAATTGTTTACCATAGCAACCCAATAAAATCAAATCATTCAAGGGCCTGGGTTTTCCTAACATCAGATTACTTTGAAATCAATTTACTTTTTTGGTGTAAGAGCTTCACATGCAAATGCCGTTTTCATTATATCACCCTTACATGATGATGAAAAAGGTGAATGATCAAACAAAAGCTGAAATGAATTGAAATCAGATTTATTATGCCTTTCTCAATTTAGTGTTGAATAATTATTATTCACTTATGTGATCACTTTGGGTCATTTGTATATGAATAAGATGATCCTTTAACATACTGTGGTCTGAGAAGATTTATACATGGAATAATGTTGAATAATCAAATGCAAATGTTATTAACATGTTTATAATTATTATTATCAACTTGTAGCATTTTTCACATTTGTATGTAGATAGTAGAATACAAAGTTCAAAATCATTATGATTTGATTAAATGTTGGAACGACAATTTTTCAACTTTTTTGTGAAAGTGTGAAAAAATATTAAAATTTATGAGTCTAGCAACCAAATGTGAAGCGATGACACAAATGACAAATTAAAATCAAAACCCTGATAAGCATAGAAATTGTGTAATATTTATGGAAAATGTCAATGACAACAATGTGTTTTAAATCACTACTGTGTTCCTGCCAAGCTTTAAAAATGCAGTTCTATTTCAGTATTGTTTTTTGAATATACAGGGTGTCCATAAAGTCTCTTTCCACTTTACACAGACTTTGAGTTGTAACTGTAGAGACTTCATGGACACCCTGTACAATTATTCACTGCCACATGTATTTGGTAAATAAGGTATACTATTTTCGTATAAGATCGTATTGCATAATATTTTAATCACTTTGTAATGATTTAATAAGATTAAAATGCCATCCTTCGAATTATAATTTATATTTATTATAAATATATTTATAATTTGTATTTATATAACCGTCCTGGGTGTATTTGTTTCTTGATGTTGTTATACTAAGAAAAATTGGTTATTTGTGTATCGGCATATAATGTGTCAAGTTTGCATATCTTCATTTACATATCACGCATGATTTGTTTGTTCTACGATTGTGATAATTTTATCACATTTTGTATTTTCCCTTAAAGGGTCAGTTTCTATACAAAATGTAATTCATTATGTTATGTACAGTACATGTAAGTCACTCCATCTATAGTATTGGATAATGTCTTCATATTGCTGTAAATATGAAAGCTTTACGAAATATGTAAGACAATAGATTTCAGTCATTTAGTCGCATTATGGTGTTTATATTTGACTTGTATAATGGTGCCAGTTGCAAATAACAAGTCTTATAAATTAAAAATAATTTTGTGGTAATTAAGGATCAAAGAGACCACCCATTTGATAGAGCTTAACTAAATCTAAACAGTACAAAATATAAAGTTCTGTATTGAATGTACCTGAAATAAAAGAGAGTGAAAACAACAACTTCCTCTTGTAAAATGGTACCATTGTCCTGGAGGCTTATTAGCAATGAGATAAATCATACAAAATGAGGTGAAATATATAATGAGGTGAAATATATAAAAATTAGTCCATATAGTTTCTTTGAAAACATAAGATCAACTATGGAATAAACATTGAACAGTATAAAATCAAAATTGTTTAGAAAATGATATCAATTTGATATTTACTTTGTACTCTAATGATGTGTATATGGAGATAACTGATATGAGATTGTTATATTGTGATCTCTGCTTTTTACATCTGATTAATTTTTAACATTCAAATTTTACAAATTGAGTTAAAAAGATTTGAATTTATGTATTTTAACTAAGGTAGGACCTGTTTATGTCAATGTTATTCCAAAAATTCATTGTTTTTGTCCCACCTTAATAAATATGTTTGTGTTGTTGTAAGAGTGTTCAGGTTTATGTAGTGCAATATGTACATATTTATTTAGAATATAGTTTATTGCAAGGGGGTATCGCCAGAAGCTTTTGTAAAGTTAACAATTCCTAAGTCTATTGTTCTATTATTGTGATGTCATTGTTTCCATGGTTACAACAATTGATTTAAGAATCAAAATTTTGTGAATAGTTCTATCATCATACCCCATGTTAGTGGCCTGGTCAAATGCATCAATGTGTTTTTGCAAAGAAATTAAAGAGAAGTAAAACTAATTGAAAGTAGGCTTTTCTCCTAAAGAAGTGTAATTAAACTTCAAAGGGACACTTTGATATTTTGAACCAGGCCCTTAGTTTAGCTTAGCTTGTAATGCCCTGGTCACATTTGCTCCGGTCTTCAGTGCCGGCACCCAGCCAATAAATATTTTATTCAAAATTGCATTCAGTTTTTAACAAAATATTCATTGACCAGTCGCCGGTGTTGAAGATTGGAGCAAGTGTTACCACAGCATATGATAAATAAATGATAAATGACAATTGAAATTAAAAGAGATCTAATGAAATATTTGTTCAAATGCTCAAAGGCTTATACTGCTATTTGTATGTAAACATTATGTAATGTACTGCTTTTTAATAATTGGACAATTATATGGAGTAGGGTTACCTATCAAAAAAATGTTCAACTGAAGTTGAAAGATGCCCAAATATTTATGATAAGAAAGGCCAAGAATCACAGTTCTCTGTATTGTTAATGGTATCTCATGTTTTAAGGTCTATAAGTTTTGCTCATTAACTTCACAAAAACCCTATCAAAATAAATTTTAAAGAAGCTTAAAAAGACAAAAGGCTTTATATTAAACTGTGAAATTGTGAAATCTCCCCCCCCCCCCCTCCAACAAATGTTCAATTAATGTCCTTGCTTCTACACATTCCAAATTATTTAGTTTATAGGAAGTAGACACCCATTCAATGTTTAAATTTTATATAAAATTATCATATTACGCGTACTAGATCATTTACATGAGGCATTTGAGTTACAAATATTGATTATTTTTCATGTAAAAATGTGTTTTAATTCCTTATTAATCATTGTACACAACTTATGATGTATATCAGTTAAACAAAGCCATACTATTATTATTTATTTATGTTTAGAATATTATTATAATATGTCAAACATTCAGCAAATAAATGAAATAAAAATGTCAATTGTATAAATAACTGTTTATGTCTTTATTCAAACATGACATCAAACTTGATATTAAACCTGACATCAGGTTCTTCAGGCTGTAGAATAGGCTCCTGAAGTTTATAAAGGTTGTACAACATACTTAAATTATGAAAATAACATTTAACAATTGTTTCTATTAATTGTATGAATTGACAAATATGGATTTTATTCACTTTGTTAAAATAAATTAAAATTAAAAAGCCGTGCTCTTCATAAAAGTGGCAAACTTTTAGTAATTGAGTCAAACTTCCTCCCAAGCTCAACTCAACTCATTCTTGGCTTAGGTTATTTCATGTATATCACATATTATATCACTAGATTTCCACTCCACATGCAGTATCAGTTGTGAGCCATATATTAAGGAGTGTGTATCTCTTTTAAATAGCCTGAAAGTTCAATCAGTCAGAATAAGGCAACAGAGAAGAGTGAATCGTATAATGCTTCAAATTGTTGGGCATGAAATATCATATGCTGGCCAATCAGAACACAGTAAAGCCATTTTATATTTCACAACAGATAAATAAAAGAAAACTAATAAAGAAAACAAGAAAGGTTTCTGGTTGTACTTCATTCTTCTAAATGAATGAAAATTCAGTCTGGTACAGCTTCACTGTTGTATGTTATTTGTGTTTAACTGATATGTTATATTCTTAACCAACTGTATCTTATGCTTTCTTGGCAGCTCTCCTTTCGGCTTTTCGTGCAGCTTTTTTGGATTTCCTGGAGGCTTTTCTTGCCGCTGCTGCTTGTTTTTTAGCTAGTTTCTTTGCAGCTTTTTTTGCTGCTTTTGCCTTTGCCTTTCTCAGTTTCTTGGCAGCTTTCTTCTTGGCAGTGGCAGCTTTCTTAGCAAGGCGTGCTGCTTTTCTGGCAGCTCTGGCATCTTGTGCTGCTTTTTCAGCTGCTTTGTTATCTACTACGAACATAGAAAAATACATAACTTATTAAACATCATGAAAAGCGCTAAAGGACGATTCTCGGTTTGGAGAACAGTCTCCTGGGCTAATAATTTTTTAATGAAAAATATAGAAATATTACCCAAATTAAACTATGAATATTCAAAAGAGGACATTTAAATCTACAAGATGTAAAATTTACAAACTGGTCTGAAGCAGGGATAACGTTCAATTTGACCGATTCAATAAAATACAAGTCTCGATTTGGGGAAAAAAGTTCATCAGTGTACTGTGCTAATATTTTTTCGCGAAAAATCTAGAAATATTACCCAAATTAAATTATGACTGTTCAAAAGTAGACATTCAAATCTATATTATGTGAAAAAATCAAATTTGTCCGAAGCAGGGATAATGCTCATTTAGATTGATGAACTTCGTTCTCCAAACCGAGAATCGTCCTTTGTTCTTAATTTTGTGCATAGCTAGCTTTTATACTTGTTATTAACCCACCCAATCCAGGGAATACTGAGTTGTGCGTGCAACACTAAATCCATAAATTTACATATATACAGTGAAACCTGTAAAGTTGAACACCCCCTGAAGTGGAACAACTGTCTTTTGGTGGAACACTTCAGAGTCCCAAGATACATGAACCTCTATAAGTGGAACACCTTCCAAGTGGAACACTTTTTAGAAGTACCACATCTGTTCCACTTAGACAGGTTTTACTGTACAACTTACAAAGGCAGAACTACTGCTCTTTTCCAATTCTTTGATTATGTACCTACCATATCATGTAATACACTGTAATATGAATGTAATGCTAACATAGCACATTTACATATTCAGCATCATACAAAAGTATGAGAAATGTTATTTTACTCATTTACATTGTTGTGTCAAGCCAGAAGTATCTGATGGATCTGTTTAGTATTGAAATTATTTTGCAGAAAGACCTGTGTACTGCATGCGGTGGGATGTATCAAGTGAACTTGATAAGGATCACCACTGTCACATTTCACATATACTTAAAAATTGCTATATGTTGAATACACTCCCCGACATAGATTTAGCAACTGGGAGTCCCCCTTGAATCACCTGAATCGAAACCTGTTTACATTCATTATGAGAGATCACAGCCTTCTATGAGTACATTTCTTTCTTCGCAAGGCAATGATGATGGTCTGAGCATCAGAATAGTTTATGTAAGGCGATATAAACAAAATCATCATTTTGTCACATGTACACTTCAAAATCAAGATCCAAACGTTGACAGGTATTGATAAGCTATCCAATTAAAGCATCTGGTTGCTAACTTATGAAGGGGGGGGGGGTGTATGAATGTCCTTAACTGTTATTTAATGAGCCACCGTCTTTACAATTACATCAATAATCATTAGACATTTAAGTTCTGTAGGAAGATGACAATGTTAAATGTAATGATATTGTCACGTGCATTGCGTATTATCGCCGTAATATTGGATTTTTAAGATTTTCGGCCAGAGAGGTAAAATTTGTGGAACTAAAACGTCACTTGGCGATGTAGATTTTTGAATATTTTACTTTAATTTAAAAAACTTGAATTTGATTCTCTGGGTTTTGTACTTTCAGCGATATTGGTTACAAGTCATGCCTGTTTTAAATGTAGGTAAGGATGGGGGAGGGTCCAGGGTCTTGAAGCAAGGCCACGCTTGAGGCTACGCTGAATGAGACTTAATCAGGTGTCATGAACGTATGAACGGTGAAATATAAGAAACAGTTAAACATGATTCTCATCACTATATAGTACTATACTTGTATAAGTATTTATTTATTTATTATATATTTATAAGTATTTGACCGGCATATGACATGATGACGTGTAATCAAATAAATAAAACATCTGAACTACCTTGGGCCTGGTCTGCCTGTTGTACGCCATCTTGTTGAACGCTGTCCCCAGCGCCCTCTGGTGCAGCTGGGCGTACTGGCCCTTCTCCAGGACCTACATTCACCCGTTCCTTTGATCCTTCCTCTTGTTTCGCCTCATTAGGTGTATTAGGTGCCGCCTGTCCTTCCTTTTGGGTTTTATCTTGCCCATCTGCTTCATTGCCTTGTTGCTTTTCCTCGGCCTTCTGTGGAACAGGCAGCTCTTTATGTTGAACCTCGTCGTTTTGATTGTTGACCCGATTTCTCAACTTGTCACACATAGATCCCGACTTGATACAGTCTTCGTCAAAGCAAGCCCCTTGGCGCATTGCGGCGTATGGCGAGACATCGTCTCGCTGGTAAAACAGAAAATTCGCGATCATATACATCATGGTAAACCATGACATCTTAAATCTTCTCAGCCCTGACATGCATGTTCCAGGTGAAACAGAAAGATGCTATGAGTATCAGAATGGATCATATACAGTTATCTAGATGGTTGTATTGCATATCACTTTGGTTGATTGTTATTATTTATTCAAAATATTCTTTCTCAGAGTTTTATCCTGAGACTAACCCCTCTATCACACCAAACTAGTTCTCAACCGTTCTTTCTCGTCCTACGAAAAAGTCATAAAACGGGCTAAATCTGGCTGTAGTTGGGAAATATGTCTAAAATAATTAGCTTCTTCGTTCATAGACAGTCTTCAATACGTCCATCTCATTCGCAGTTCACTCAGGTCGCACCGCTTTGGTGTGCAGACGTACTGCAGTTGATATCCTATTGGCACAACGTCGTATAACGTGTCTCTAGTAGGATCGAAGTACGGCAATTACGTTCCTAGTCTAGCAGGTCATCTCGTTTGAAGTACGTTGTCACACGATTTTATAACAGAACGGTATGGTCGCCAACTACGAATTTTGAAACGATTCAAAATTCTAAAATCACCTTCTCGTCCGAGTAGGCTCATGAAGTTCGTAACTAGACATTAGAAAGTTGCAGCTACGTTCATTCCGTTCGCACGCAGTTTAAATTCGGCAACATTTTAAAGAACGCAGTGCCAACTAAATGGTGTGATAGCTATATTTTTGCTAACTCGTTCATAAACAGTCTTTAATACGTTTTTAATCAGTTTCAACCCGTTTGCAATTAGTTATACCTTGTTCTCAATACGTCCTCAGACAGTTCAACTCTTTGTAAAAACGTCCCCAGTAGGGCTAGTTTGGTGTGATAGCAGGGTTACATAACCAACTTTCATATCACACCAAAATAGTTTTCACTGCGTACTCGAAAAGTGGCGTAAACGGTGTACAAACGGATGGGATGTATTTAGAAGTCGGGCTATTTATAAACTTCATGAACGTACACGAACGGGTAGGTTCTCAAGAACTTAGAGCATGCTAAAAAATTTCTGGTGGACGTCACCTTCCGCAATTAAAACGTGTGATAACTTACTGAAGACGAGTTATACGTTCTACGAACGGAGCTGTAGTACTTCAATCCTAGTATGGATGTTTTTAAAACGAGTCCAATTGTCTGAGGACGAATTAAGAACGAGATAAAACTAATTGCAAACGCAGAAACGGGTTATAACTGATTAAGGACATATTAAAGACTCCTTTTGAACGAGTTAGCAAAAATATAGGTTTCACACCAAACTAGTTGCCACTGCGTTCTTTAAAACGTTGCCGAACTGGTTTTAAACTGTGTGCGAACGGGATGAACGTCGCTGCAATTTTCTAACTACGGTCTATTTACGAATTTTATAGATGAGCTCGGACGGGCATACTCGTTTCCCAGTTTGATTTTCAATATGAACACATCATACCTTGAAAATCTAAGATGCGGACGGGAAGGTGATTTAAAATTTTAAACCATTTCAAAATTCGATAGCGACATATCGTTAGATCGTGCGACAACGTACTTCAAACGAGATGACCTACTAGACTAGGAACATAATTGACATGGTGCGACATGAACGAACTGCGAATGAGATGGACGTATTGAAGACTGTTTATGAACGAAGTAGCTCATTATTTTAGACATAGTTCACGACCACAGCCATATTTAGTCTGTTTTACGACTTTTTGGATAACACTGGAAAGAAACGTTTAGAACTAGTTTGGTGTGATGGGGAATAACATTTTATGTTAGTCTCAAATTTTATCATAAAAACATTTGATGCGAATCCATGCACCTTCAATTGAAAATTGTTTTGAAATAATTGTATTACATTACTTCAGGTCTACTCATATTCATCTCGGTTGAAGAAATAAAAGACTCATGTGTATATAGTACATGTATTTATTAAATATATGAACATAATTCAGGCCACTGATCAAGAACTGAAGCTAGTTTGGTTACCCCCTATCACACCGTTCTTGCCAGTCCTACGAAAACGTCGTAAAACGGGCTCAATCTGGCTGTGGTTGGGAAATATGTTAAAAATAATTAGCTACTTCGTTCATAAACAGTCGTCAATACGTCCATCTCATTCTCAGTTCGTTCAGGTCGCACCACGTCGGTGTGCAACGTCGTAGAACGCTTCCTTTGTCTAGAAGGTCATCATGACCTGATTACAGAACTGTATGGTCGCCATCGAATTTTGAATCGATTCAAAATTCTAAATCATATTCCCCGTTCGGGAAAGTCCACGAAGTTCGTAAACAGACCGTAGAACGTTATAGCTACGTTCATTCCGTTCGCACACAGTTTAAAACCAGTTTAGAAAAACGCAGTGGCAACTTTCTTGGTGTGATAGCTATATTTTTGCTAACTCGTTGATATACGTTCTTAATCAGTTTAACCCGTTTGCAATTAGTTCTACCTCGTTCTCAATACGTCCTCAGACAGTTCAACTCGTTGTAAAAACGTCCCTAGTAGGATCGGAGTACGTCCAGCTCGTCGTTAGTAGGTTGTCACTCGTTCTAATTGTAGAACGTGACGACCAAGAGAACATTTTTGAGCATGTTCTAAGTTCTAGAGGACCTACCCGTTCGAGTTCGTTCGATGAAATTTGTAAATAAACCCCAAATGGTTCTAAGTACATCCAGTCCGTTCGTACACAGTTGAATCCCGTTTTCGAGAACGTAGTGAGAACTAGTTGGTGTGATAGTAGGGTTACCCCCCTATCACACCAAGCTAGTTCTTACCCGTTCTTGCCAGTCCTACGAAAACGTCGTAAAACGGGCTCAATCTGGCTGTGGTCGGGAAATATGTCTGAAATAATTAGCTTCTTTGTTCTTAAACAGTCTTCAATACGTCCATTTCGTTCGCAGTTCGTTCAGGTCGCACCACGTCGGTGTGCAACGTTGTAGAACGCGTCCCTTTGTCTAGAAGGTCAACATGACCTGATTACAGAACGGTATGGTCGCCATCGAATTTTGAATCGATTCAAAATTCTAAAATCACATTCCCGTCTGAGAACGTTCATAAAGTTCGTAAATAGACCTTAGAAAGTTGCAGCTACGTTCATTCCGTTCGCACACAGTTTTGAAGAACGCAGTGGCAACTTGTTTGGTGTGATAGCTATATTTTTGCTAACTCGTTCATAAGCAGTGTTAAATACGTTCTTAATCAGTTTAAACCCGTTTGCAATTAGTTCTACCTCGTTCTCAACACGTCCTCAGACAGTCCAACTCGTTGTTAAAACGTCCCTAGTTGGATTGAAGTACGACGGTCCCGTTCGTAGTACGTCCAGCTCGTCGTTAGTACGTTGTCACTCGTTCTAATTGTAGAACGTGACGACCACGAGAGCATTTTGAGCATGTTCTTAGTTCTAGAGGTCCTACCCGTTCAAGTACGTTCGATGAAGTTTGTAAATAGACCCCAAACGGTTCTAAGTACGTCCAGTCCGTTCGTACACAGTTGAAGCCCGTTTTCGAGAACGTAGTGAGAACTAGTTTGGTGTGATAGTAGGGTTAGACTTAGACGTACCCCGTTGTGGCTGAAGAAGTGCTTACATCCACAGCAGAGGGCAGCCATACGGCTCCCTTTGTGACATAAACGTCTTCCCTCACATCTGCGGGCTTCAACAGACGGATCTCCTAAATGATACAAAATATATTCATAAATGAGAGCGGTCATCGTGGAAGAACTTGCACGAAAGGACTCCGTTACATTAACATACATGTAATTTAATATTATGACTCCAAGGGATAACTGTTTCAATTTCAGTTGGCATAATAATTCCCGAGGACCATATTTCTACGTTCAAGTAAACGTTCTATTAAAAACGTGCAGCTTGATCTCCCAGTGTCTCTACTCGCCGGCCGGAGGATGAGCGGCGACAGAAGAAAATAATCTTCTTCATCCTAGCATGAACATGAAGAATTTCTTCATCATTCAAGTCCATGATCCTAGGCTAGACAAAATCAATTGAAAAAAGTGCCCATCTTGAAACAGAATTTATAAGTTTATATGAGCATGTACAGATAGTGAAGGTACGACGGGCTGTTACGAAACACACGGCCATGGAGGCCCATTTACGATTGATGCTAATAAATCTATTTCCTTATCTTGTGATAATACATGTATATTACTTTATGAAAATACATGTATTTCATTACCTCATGATAATACATGTACATTTCATTACTAGTATATAGTCTATACACGTACTTTATTTACTTATGATGAGAATACATGTATTTCATTACCCCATGATAATACATACTTTATTAACTTATGATGAAAATTCATGTATTTCATTACCTCATGATAATACATGTTTTTCATTACCCCATGATAATACCTACTTTATCAACTTATGATGACTATACATGTATTTCATTACCCCATGACAATACATACTTTATTAACTTATGATGAAAATTCATGTATTTCATTACCTCATGATAATACATGTTTTTCATTACCTCATGATAATACATGTATTTCATTACCCCATGATAATACCTACTTTATTGACTTATGATGATAATACCTACTTTATTTACTTTTGATGACAATACATGTAATTCATTACCTCATGATAATACATGTATTTCATTACCTCATGATAATACATGTTTTTCATTACCTCATGATAATACCTACTTTATTAACTTATGATGACAATTCATGTATTTCATTACCTCATGATAATACATGTATTTCATTACCTCATGATAATACATGTTTTTCATTACCTCATGATAATACATGTATTTCATTACCCCATGATAATACCTACTTTATTGACTTAAGATGACAATACATGTATTTTATTTCCTCATGATAATTCATGTATTCCATTACCCCATGATAATACCTACTTTATCAACTTATCATGATTATGTATTTCATTACCTCGTGATAATACATGTGTTTAATTACCCCATGATAATACACGTACTTTATCAACTTATGATGATAATACATGTATTTCATTACCCCATGATAATACCTGCTTTATTAACTTATGATGACAATACATGTATTTCATTACCTCATGATAATACATGTATTTCATTACCCCATGATAATACCTACTTTATTGACTTAAGATGACAATACATGTATTTTATTTCCTCATGATAATTCATGTATTCCATTACCCCATGATAATACCTACTTTATTGACTTAAGATGACAATACATGTATTTTATTTCCTCATGATAATTCATGTATTCCATTACCCCATGATAATACCTACTTTATCAACTTATCATGATTATGTATTTCATTACCTCGTGATAATACATGTGTTTAATTACCCCATGATAATACACGTACTTTATCAACTTATGATGATAATACACGTATTTCATTACCTCATGTTAATACTATATGGAATCATAGATCATTAATTATAGTGATAATATGGTTAATGAATTTAAATGATTAAAATCACAAGACTTACCCGAGAATACTGCCACAATCAGAAACAAAATTATCTTCATTTTCAGATGTTTTCTTCTCGATGTTTGCTTTAGAAGATCAATTCCAACGGATGGCAGATATCACCAGATACGTGAAATGTCAAAGGTGATCAGTTATAATTAGATATGATATACAACGTCTATGGTCAGTATTTTATCCCTTGCAAGCAGCCATGGACGTATTAGCGCCCATGAAATTCACCTTTATTTGTGGAACAACATTATGTAGACGCGCGTTAGCTGCCTATTCCAATGTGGGTTGAAATCGGAGCGCCATCTATACGCGCGGTCGTATGCCACCGCATGGTTTTGTCCCTCTTTCTGTCATAGGCCTACAGGGGCACCTAACTGACAAGGGCAGTTACTATCAAATACTGAATTGTCTTTGTCGATTCATCTCATTGATTACAAAAGCCATAAACAAGTCAATAAAAATAATCAAGGTTGATATACATGTACATAGATACGATATACAGAGTGGGCCAAAAAACGCCACTTTTTTCAAGACACTACAATTTTTTTATTTTCAAATCTACAAACCCCAAATTTCGCAGTTATATAGTGCCAGGGGTTCTTCGCAATTTTATAATGTAACAAGTCCTTCAACGTGGATTATATTTGATCTAAAAGAGGAGTTCAATTGGTCCGCCACCCTATTTGATGATCGATTTTAGTTTAAGTCGCCTTGCTGATGTAGCAGTATCAATGAAATGTTAACTAAGTTCTTTTCAACCTGTCCTAATTGCCAGCTTTAGTTGAGCAATGTTTTAGATTTGGTGCCTTAATACAATCTCCTGGAGACAATCCCATACCCTATACTCACTGGGGTTTGCTTTAGGCCTATTAGCTTGGCTGTCATCAGGCCATATCAGTTCAGGAACTTTTGCAAATTATGCTTATTTCTCATGGCACACCACATGTTTAAGTGAGACGCTGGTGACATATTTTATTCAAGTAAAAGCGTATTATTCATGATCCATGGCTAGATAACAACTTCAAGTTTCATTTGGTATGCAAATTATGATTTTGCATCAAAAATTAAAAAAGTTATAGGATTTTGAAAAAAGTGGCGTTTTTTGGCCCACCCTGTACTACAGCAGCTAAAACTATATCATTCGTGAATAAGTTAGATTTCAAAATAGTTGGTTGGAATCATATGACTTGTTTGTGTAGTTTGAAACCTCAATCACCAAAAAATAAAATTAAATTGGGCCCCACTTGACAATTAAACAATTAATATAATAGATAAACAAAATATTCGTCAAAAGCAATGGCAGACAATGGTGATATCTGGGCAGAGCGTCTCTAACTCTTTGTTAAATCAAAAACGGCTGATTTGTTTGATTGAAAATCGTTTAGAATATTTCAAAACTGTCCACTTCAGATGATATAAAATAGCTATCGCTGTAATCATCTCTATCGCATAGTAATATCAAAGCAGCAATTAAAATTTGAAACAATGGCATTATGTTTTTCCAATATCCACAAACATTTAAGTGTATTATCTATCATTTTAATAGTGTGTTAAATCAATGTCAACGAGCTTCACGGCCAATGATTTACAAGCTCTGATTTCGATCGGTATCAAATACATTGAAATAATGCTATTATAGTTAAAGTTCAATCTGCAACAAGACCTGACCTTGGAATGTTGTTTATTTATCTCTTTTATAAGTTCCACTGGTCTTTCTTAAGGTGTCAGGATTCCCGCGTTGGAATCGAACCTAGGACCCTTCGATACGAAGTGTGATGCTCTACCCAATAGCTATAAATGCTTAAGCCACTACAGCTGGGTCGTAGTAGCATCAGACTTCGGATCCAAGGGTCCTAGCTTCGATTCCCACGCGGAACATTGAATTTAGCACACTTTCTTTCAATTTCTTTGCTATGTCTATGCTCGTTAGTTAGTCATACCCCTGGGGCGCCCTCGGGTCATTACATTAGCACTCGATTAGCGCTAGAATACCATGAGTACTGTTTTAGTACTCGGCATATCTCCCTCCGAGGGCCCGATATAACTTACATGAATAGTGCCAAGATAAATTTTGTACATTTTATCAATCAAAATAACTACTGTATGTAGTAACCTATAAGGTCTCTGGCAAAGCCCCTTTCCTGCATTTCCATCAGTTGAAATAAGGAGTGTATATATCTGATCCCAGGTGAAGTTCCAAATTCTATATGCAAGTTGTGGAAATACGATTGTATGATATGAATCCAGCTATTGGCTGGATTGGTATAGATATGGTGCATCCATTTTGCAATACTGTTAGTCATGCTCCATTTCAAAAGGATGCAGGATTTTTTTGCCACCAACCTAGTCAACAGAAACAAAAAATCTTAAAATATTTAAAACTATATGGAAATAATTTATAAAGGGGATAACACAGTGGCAGATAAATAAAACCAAGCGTCATTTAGATCTAACCAAATCATAAGCAACATTGATAACCAAATAACAGCATAAAACGCCATTAGAAATGTTCATGTATTTTATTGTCAGCATCTCTATTTGCAACAAATTCAATTTCATGCAATGGATTTGATTCTGCACGCTTGTTCACCTTACGGTTTTCATTTCAAACTCATTTAAAAACCAATGATGCATGATTATTAAGTGACCAAGCGTTATAAGCTGTTAGTTTCACCATCATAATTCATTGATTTCAGAATTCGGTATCGTCATGTAAATAAAAAATAAAGTATCTTAATGTTCATGTATAGATACAATTTCACATTCTGATAATACTCATTACACCTTTCTGTTTCACTTTCATGGCTGATGAGAAATGGGAGGTCATGGTTTTGTCTTTCAAGCGTGCATTCAAGTCCAACACAAATGACAGGTTTTGTCAATATACATATCTGATACCCCAGCCCTAAAACGAAGCATTAATTTTCAAAATTCCAAATCGATATCACAGTTCTTTATATTTAAAGAATGATTCTGTCCATCTAAAACGCAATTCATCTTCACAGAAGTGTCCGTTTCCATAGCAACATAACACGTAAACGTAGGCAGCGAGGCAACAGGCTCACAAAACTTTTGCATTTAAATGTTTTTAGACATTCTTTAGTCCGAATCTGTAAAAATTACATTGTTTAAAATCCTCTTTAGCTTCAGTTTTCCTTGCCTACATGTTTATAATTTCCTTTGCCTATGTATAGATACTGGTTACGTCACTGTACTAAAATAAAGCCTTCCATCAAACCCCTGTGTTACCTCCCGAGATGTTCTCACTCAGGCCCGTAGCCAGGATTTTTGAAAAAATCTAGGGGGGTTCACTTGTGACAATTTTGGTCCAAAAATGGCCAAAATCACTTAAAAAGTGCTCAGAATGGTGAAAACTGCATGTTTTTTAAAGATTTTTTGGCCATGGGGGGGGGGGGGGGGGCATCAATCTTGCACTCTCCAATTTTGTATATAGTCTATAACCTCGTGGATATAATGTGTTAGTTGGCGGGGGACAAGGGCATGATGCAAGACTTCAATAATCAGTTTCACGAGATGCAGTTTCAGTTCAGTTTTACTAATTAGTCATTATGAATTTCATTTATCATTTCCGATGACTTTTTATAAGGTCGTTGATATGAAAAATCGTTATTGATAGAATAATGATAATATCCATGTTGTATTGTTGGTTGCTGTTGGTGTCGGGATGTTGTTTACCTCACTGAAAAATAAAGCACTTGTTTAACATGGTGGAAAACGCCGAAATCCTTTTTGAAAGGAATTGTCGTATGTCGTAAGATACTGTATGTCTATTGTCTTGAATGTCAATGTGTGCACTATAGTGTTGATAGGGTATTTACACATGAATAGCACATTACGCCAGGACGTTTATAAACGTGAATAGTACGCCAAGTCTATAAACGTGAAAAGCAGCACATGTTATATTACACTAGATGTTACGCTTGTTCTAAAAGTATGTGTTTGTCTTAACATTTATATTAACATACATTTAACATATGGACATGAACATACGTTAATATTCAGGTCGGCGTTAAGGTTTCTTGTTCTTTGCGGACTTCTTGAGGGCTTTGTTTGCTTTCCTCTCATCCTCGGATTTGCGACCATTGGTCAGTTTACGAGCAAGCTTTTTGGCCGCTATGTTCGCCTTCCTCTCTGCCTCAGTCTTACGATACCGTCCTTGAATTACAAATCATGTTAAAGTATCATACAAAACATTAATTTCGCTATAGCAATATGAAAGCAATATCTAATCTAATGATACAACCTTCATTTCGTTTCAACGAGATTTTTCATTTCGTGCCAACAGGTCTCTTTTGACATTTATCATATTAGTAGAGCAACTGAAACAGATATTAAAAATATTTTTAGAAGTGATAACACCGAACCTCTTACTAAAGTTAGTTCTTATTTAAGTTAGACGGTGGCCTTCACTGAACATCTGTACCTTTAGCTAAAGCGCGACCTTATATTTAGAGTTATCCTAAGAAAATATCAAACGCTTTCCATTCCGGACGTTTTTTTTATCGAATATCGACATAGATTATGCTCAACGAATTGTATTACGTTCAATATCACTCTAGTATTAAGTTACATACCATTTTTTCCACCTTGAGGGTTTTGTCCTGGAGCGGCAGTTGTAGCTGGAGAATTGAGTTCAGCCTCAATATCATTTTCTTCAGCAGCAGTAGTTGTGGTTTGCTCAGGGATGGGATCCTCATTCTCAGGTATGCTCTCTGCATCACCAAGGTCGACTTCATCTCCAGAAGTAGCCTTTTCCTGTTTTTTTTCGCTCAGCCTTTTTCCTAGCAATATTTGCTTTTCTCTCCGCTTCAGTCTTTGGTGGTGGTTTTCTCTCGGCCTTCTTCTTTGCAATGTTAGCCTTTTTCTCCTCAGGGGTTTTGGCCGGCCTTTTATCTGTAATAAGATAACTCATAAAAACAATGCCTTTTGAATCATTTGCGCGATGACGAAGTAAATACTTCACTCATAAAAGTAATGCTCATCAAGTTCACCATGTTTCAAGAGGAATATCAGTTGAAATAATGCTCATCCAGGGGTTTCTTTGTAGATAATAAAAATATATGTTAAACTTGATGAAGTATCCAAAATAAAATATATTTTGACACTGGTCGATGATCGTTGAATGGCCCTCCTGCACTAATTATTGCACCTTTAAGTTTTGGTGATGTGGGCACCGAGTATATAATATGAATATTTACAATTCGTGTAGTGATTGCATACCTTTCTCTGTAGTATCACCAGCATCGTTGTCATTTATATCATTATCAATACCTTCATCATCCTCCTCTTCTTCTTCCTCCTCCTGTTGTGTAGTAGTTCGAACAGTGGGAGAAGTAGTAGCCGCAGGAACAGGAATGTCTTTTTCCTTAACTTAGAAGATACAATAACAGTCACCAATATAATATATTACCTTTCCCCAGTTTTTAAAATTCTATAAATAAGAGACATAGTGGTAGTGATACTAACAAATCAAAACGACAATTGATTGGTCAACTATGACTCAAAGAATCTTTTGCTGTCCGTTAATTGAAAATTGAAAATCAAAGAAGAACTGATATGGATCTTTACCTGACTGTAAGTCTTGTTCAAAATGATTTTAAAAGAAACTGGTTCAAAATGCTTTTTGATTATGATTAGTTAATACTAAGAGGGGGAACACCCCGAGAAACCTCTTAAGGTTCATCTTTACATCCAGATAGTTTCATCTATGATTCTGGAGTGTTTCCTCCTCTTCTTGATACTCGATTTAATATATTTAAACAAACAACATTATCATTTTATATTGAACCAGTACATACCATCATCTTGTACTACATTTGTATCGGGTATCATGTTGCGGCATGGGCCTTTTTGTAAGCACGGTTCATCTAGGCAGTATCCGCTTTTGATGGCGTAATAGGGTGGCGTCCGATCACTCTAAAATGCCATAGTTGAATAGCAGCATCAAAATGTGCTTCATTGGACACTAAGATGGGACACATTGAAAACATAGCAACACCATCAATTGACCACCTTGATAAAAACATTGTCTGTCTTGAAAAATACAAATCTTTTCCTTCTTTGATATTCTTTTATGCGTAAGTCACATTACAGGTCTCAATGTTGAGAATTGACCACATCTTTTTCAATCTTCAAAAGGTCGTCAATTCAATTACATTGTGTATATTTAGTTTTCAAACTCAATAAGATCGTCTTACTATAAAGCACTGTAGTCTGTCTGTCTCTGTCTGTCCGGGCATCTCCTCCTAGACCTTTTGACTTTGGGCCTTCATACTTTCTCAACATACTAAGTGGGCCGGTGTGCATTCTACGAAGGTCAGAAGTCAAGGTCATACCATGGTCAAAGGTTAATATCTAAGTATTTGGCGTTTTAAGACCCTTGGTCTGTGTTGTGACTCTTGACGACCCATGAATAGGTGACCTGAGATCAAGGTCAACTTTATGGGTCAAGGTCATTCCAAGGTTAATGGCCAATATATTGGTATCTGAGGACTGTTGTGACCCTTGGCGACCATGATTAGATGACCAAAGGTCAAGGTCATTCCTAGGTCAAAGGTCAATATTTAGGTTTTGGCGTTTTAAGGCACTTAAAGGATACAATGACCCTTGGCGACTCATGATTAGGTGACCCGAGGTCAAAGTCAATGTTTATGGGCCAAGGTCATCTCAACGTCAAAAGTGAATATCTAGGTATTTGGAATTTCAAGGCCTTTGGACAAGTTCAGCTCAATTTAAGAATCGGTCAAGGTAAAACGATCAATACACAGGTATTTAGCATTTTATGGGTGCTTTGACCCTTGGTGACCCACTCAAACGGGTAGATTGCTAGTTTGTATAACTTTAGGTGTATTGACATTGCTAGTTATACACACATCCTCAAGTTCTGGTGTATTTTTGATCTAATATAAAAAAGGTATGAAGTCTTCGAGCTAATCTTTAAAAGAGAACTTATTGTTGGTGGTATTTAACCTAGGCCCTGGCCCCATGATAAACATACATATGCATGCCCTTGGAAGATGAATAAACCCAAAGTACTTACAAGAGGGGTTTTGAACGTGTAGGGACACCCACAGCACACCCTTCTTCGTGGCGTGTCCTTGCATCCACTTCTTTCCATCATGCATTTCATTGAATCAGCGACATCTATCAGATAGAACACAGCTGAAAGTATAATTTCGTTATTTACGTTGAATCTTGGCCAACTATGTCCGAAATCGCTATTTTACAGATCTGCACTATAAATTGTATTGTTTTATATTGTATTGTATCGTAATTGCATTGTATTGCATCAATCGTGGCACGCTTACATGTTTCAAAATATATTTCAGATTTTAACTATTTTGTTACAGAAGCCTAACATTTTTTATTCAACCAACTGTACATGTATGTCCACCAAATTTGTCAATACACCAACGCCATACACAAATTAGATAAATCATTAAAAGGTGACATTTTACTTGTACTTATAATATGAATCATTGTGTCAATAATAACCATTAATTAGGCTAAATGTTATAACTACTTGTTTTGAATAATCGTAGGTAAGATAAACTGATCCATATATTGTGACAGGATTAGAATTAAAAATACGTGTTTTCCTATAAAAGGCATCCTCCGATCACAGGGCTTCAAAATCCAGAATATCTTCTTTCTTTTTACCCCCTGCTATAACCAAGTTGGACGCGCCCGATTAAACTGAATCACGTGATCTTATTATGCGCCGATGACGTATACATGATTTCTGTCGCAGTGTTGCGACAGCCAATCAAATTGCGAGTTCTTAATCGGGGAAATGCTAACTGCTTATAGCAGGGGGAAGAAGGAGGTACGGATTCTGGACACCTGCTTAGGAGGATGTATAAAAGGATGCACTATAGTAGTTAAATCCGTCAATATTCTGATCCCAAAAATTCAAAATTTTCAAAAGATATTATAAATGCGTAACATTCTGAATATTTTTTCCAAAATAACTTTTACATTTGGATTTCCTTTAATCTCATATTTTTTCTCATGTATAAAATATTTTTTATGAAATATCCAAAATACAATGTGTTGGTATTTATAGTGCAATGTGGTAATTTATCTCGTTCAATATCGCCTAAACATAAATAATATTTCTATGAATGTTCATCTCTCTGGTAGTAACGTACAAAGTTGTTTTCAAGGTTTTCTATAGTAACGGTTGCTATTTGTCTCATTGTTATGTAATAGTTAATTATTTCAGTTTGATTCAAATATGGTTTTATTTCTGAAGAAGTAGGATGGATATCCTACGAAACGTCAAATAATAAAAATAAATATCTCTGAGAAAGAAAATCAACAACTTTATAAATAATATTGTTTTACATCCATTTATACACGCACTTATCTTGTTCTACTCTCCCCTCCAAAACTATGAAACTACTAACTGTATAAATTGCATCGGCCAACATCAGGTCGTGCATAGCAGACATTTGAGAAATCGTTTAAAACTGAAAACAATCTTTTGGATTCCATACAAATTACTTTAGAAAATCTAAAACAGCATTCAAAAATTTATGTCCTAAAATGTAAACAGGTTCGATTTTTAAAACAACCGCTTAATAATCGCAGTTTGAATGCCACGATTTTGTGCTTAATCATTTGAAACATAATTTTGAAATAAAGCTATCGTGTGGTATCTAATCAATCAAATCTCATTGGTTTCAAATATCGCGTTGGTAAAAGATAAAATACAGATTCTAATAAATAAAAATAAATGACGTATCAGATCCACTATTGTTTATTTGGTGAGACGCACTTGTTAATTTTCCAACGCAACATCAAATCTGACAAGTCATAATAAAAATGATTGTTACCTACACATATATAATATAATAAATAACATTAAAGTAATACAATTAATTAAATAAATGAATTAAAAATAGAATAAACATATCTCACCTAATATTAAGAAGGAGAGCAGAGATGCGCCTCCCTTCATAGTGAAACCTGATACTCTAAACGATGCAATTGGGATCGGTATCATTAATAAATTATCGTTAAACTTAATCAAATAATACGTTAATCGATAGATCAACCTTTTCCTCACGTATTATTGGTAAATTGCATAACTATATTGTTATTACTGATACGGTTTGTTATCAAATACGAATGAAACTTCAATCCTCCGAACACAGGGCTACAAAACTGAAAGCCCCCATATAAAGTTTAAACCACTTTGGTTTATATTGTAGTCTTACCCGATGTTATCAAGGTGTTATGTGAAACTTTTTTTTAATTCCAAAAAGTGGTTTTTGAAGGACTTTTTGTTCAACAAATCGTGAATTTATTTAAAACTAACTTTCAGAGGTCACACGTATCTTTTAATAAGCGATAATTCATACCAATGCATGGCATTTATCCTCACATGTTTTTGTCGAAATTAAGAAAATCGGTCCATAAATAAGCGAGAAATAAACTCATCAATGCATGAAAATGGTTTAGAGAAAAATGCATTTCAAAATTTTAGTTCTCATAGAAACCAATGGTACAATAATATCTTAAGCATGATATATTCTTCCTTTTAGCCTGGTTAGACAATCAACGTTGGTTTATTTTTGAAGTTTAGCCTATTGAGAAAAGATTAATATAGAAAAATATTTCAATTTTTTCAAAACGTTTTTGCCACCTGTGACTCATAATAACATCACTGATGAATATTTTTTAAATGCTAAAACATTGAATTGGCACATTGAATATGGCTTTTTTATTATTGAAATGGTGTGTCCTTTGTCCAATCTTTGGATTGTTGTTAAAAATATCATATTTTGAAATGTATGGAAGAATGTTTGATGACCCAATATTTCAGAAATGAAAAGCTGACAATTTTTTCAAATTTTTGTTTTGTTTCAAAAATCTCTAAAATAACTTTGAAAGTCCTGACAAATAGTAAATGAAGGATAAAAACGTATTTTCAGACTTGACACGGGGACTTTAAGGAGGATGTAAAATACAAATGGGTATGGTTAACATCCTTCATAAAAAGGCTCCATTGCTCTTTTCAATTCAGAAATGGAAAGAAGTGAAATACCCTCTGACAAAAGAATACAATATTCTGAACCGACAAAGCACGTGTTTCAACTCTCTACACGTGTAAGCCTCTACATACAGGAAGCATCCATGTAATCCATGGTACAGAGTTTTCTCTTTTCTCAGAGTTAAGCTATACTAAAAGTATTACTGAAACAGGCATGACATTGGTTATTCAATTTGATCCACATATGAAGCAAGAGTAGACCCTGCAAATCGTCTTACTTTTCTGTGGTATCTTTATTTGTAAAAAATGTGACCAACCTTTTCTTTCTTTTTTGTAGAATTGGAGAAATACAGTCAAAATAAACATACATGATAAATCCTCAAATCTATAGTTTCGTCATGGATTTTTTTTTGAGATTTTCGTTAAAAAACTTTTAAACATCTCCGTATGAGTAAAACGATAATTGTGTAGTTTATTGATTATTCATTTGCAATGAATGCTAGTTATATATTAGGAAATGAGGCTGAAATTATGATTGTATTTTTAAATGGAGTTACAATTTCAGCAGCAATTCGGCCGGTTGTGTTGTTGTTAAATCGTCGTTCATATAACTGGAATATTGAGCACTTCACGAATATCAGTTCACTTTCTTAATGTAGCAATGACAAAAGTCCTGAAATACTGATTTCTGGGAAATGAAATATGTTGTTACAAAAGCATTTTTCAGACACGAAAAATCGAAAAATTTAATTAATTCAAACTTGAGAGCACACTGAAATCGAGCAAATCAATGTTATTTTGAAAACTATGTCAATTCGAGCATGAGCGACGATGTACAGCTACACGTTTTAAAGAAAACTTGTACTTGAAACTGTAATATTATGACCCCCGTGGATTGCTATCCCCTTCTTAGTTGGGTTTTCAAACTATTACAATTATTTCCTTCATACCTTTGGGCAAGTGAATACTATAAAGGCGGACATCAATCCCAAGAGAACCACAATTCAACATGTTCACGTACAAGTTCTCTAAAAAACGTGTAGCTGAACCTAACATGTAACATTATTAGAACACGTGTCCTCAAAACGGATAATTGTAATCAACGTTTAATGGTATGCCCCGGTGAATAATGGTACCTGATATGATATTAAAATGTATTTTGATATGAGAATTCAAAGGCCAAATACATATCAATAACAGTCCTATCCTGTTCAGGCATACATCAATTAGTCACTGTCCGATAAGTGCATGATTAAAAGTAAACAGTATGTGTCCATCCTTTTTATAAAATGACCAAATATAATTAATTGTTTATGTACTGTGCGTGTATTTGTAATTTCTTGTTCAATATTATTTTGTCGTTCACAAAATATTTGAACTGCGTCAACCAGGCTGGACGGAAGTAAGTTGATTGAGATGAGAAAATCAAAAATATTACAAATTGGTTTGAAGAATATGATGAATATCAAAATTTTCAAATTCAATGTCATTGAAATGATTGTCTGGGGCAAGGGCAGAAAAAGTTGAGTATTAATTTTAAAACGGTAACCATAGGAAAACAAGCGAATATTTACAAAGTTCATGACTACAAATAACATTTTTGATGATTAGAAAAACGCATGTACAATTTTCTAAACTTATAACTTTTTTTTATAAAAAAGTACATTGGAATTGGTAGATACCTATATTTCGTGAAATATTTAGCTTAATTTCCCGCTGTATAGTTTATCATTATTACAGGATTTGAGAATTTTGAAAATAATAGAGATTACATAAAACAGGAAGACATCAACGCCAACCCAGCACCAGCCACAAGAGAGTTAAACAGGGAATATGAAAATTACACTACTGTGCATAACAGGTACCGAATTTTATACATATTTTATATTTATATTATTATTTTATTATACACTAATGCAGGGTGCTTCAAGACCCAGCCCCCTTATTTATATTATTGATAACAGTTGTTAAAGTAGATAAGGGGGTCCAGGACTACATTTTATATATATTTTTATCGCCACCAAGTTTGATGATTGATAGTAAATACACATACGTCAATATAAATGAGTCAATACGACCAATCTAATTAATTGTAAGATGTGAAAGGAAGGCAAATTGATAGTTAACTTTCATCAAATCATATACAAATGACAAGATATTTTTTTTTTGATACATATCACAAATACACATATCACTGTCTTATTTGGTCATTTTGGCACACCCTGTACTATAGCAGTAGTTACATTCGTTATTTGGTCATTTTGGCACACCCTGTACTGTAGCAGTGGTTACATTCGTTATTGTTGTCAACGGCGTCAACGAATTTTTTGGTGTTGTATAACTTTTATTTTTTATATATTGACAAGAACAATACGTGTATGCAGGCTAATCGCAAAATATGAAAAAAGCACATTTCCACAAAATTTATATAAACTGGCCATGGTAAGAGGTGGTATTTATGGCGATTCAATCAAACTACTGATATAAACAATTAAGAGATTTTCATTTCTCTGAATAAATTTGTTGAGACGTTTCGATATTGGCATCTACCTCCATTCACCAGAATACAATAATGTCTACGGATTATCGAATAATAAGGAAAATGATTATCCAGACAAAATAAAATGTTAGGAAAAAGTCAGCATCAATAGATAATTCGTGGAGGGTCCATCGAGATAATGATAATGCCCCAAAACACGAGTTTTTCTTTAGATAAGAAATAACAATGAATCATTTATGATACATAAAATGCAGTCGAGCAAGCAACTTCTCAAAAATGCAGAATACTTCATTCGTCATGTACATTAAAGTAACTTATGTATCTTCCAAAAGCACTTCCTACTTTGTTTCAGAAAAAGAAAGCATTTTATTTTACATTTTTGTTTATTTTTCTATATCCACAATTGAAAGAATTTAAACATTTCTTCAATTTACTTACTCTACTAATTGATGTCATGGACAATTAAAAATAATAAATCTAAGATGATGAAGAATTATTGGTAGATAAATTATACACGTTTGCTTGTAATATTGTCACCCCCTCGTATATCTCTGAAACTGCCTTTAAAGTTTGATATAAGAGTAATAGCAAAACAATCTAATCAATTTAGTGACCACAATTAATTAAATGAATGAACGCAATCAATAAATTTGTAGATGATGATACACTTTTTCGATTGGAACAAATTAAATCGTCGCTAATGCTGTCAAGATTTACACCTCAATGACAGATTTCAATATGACAAAGTGCTATTTAATTGCTATAGCCTATAACATACATGTATCTATTTAAACCTTATCCAGGTTACATAGAAATATGTAGTAAAGCAGTATTGTACAGTAATAACTAACATATAAAGTATTTCAGAAGGACTATAAATGCATGATTATATATTTTCCAATCAGTAACAATTGGCTCCTATTACTTCGTAGACAAATATTTTTGTTCATTTAAGGTCAGCCTAGTGTTTTGGGACTCCACTAGTCATTTGTAATTTCTTTTATAATATTTTCAGTGATTATCTTTAGTCTACACGATTTGACGAATGCCAACTAAAACGATGTCTCTTATTGGTTTATTTCTATTATGATATTTTCAGTGATTATCACTCTGCACGATTTGAAAAATAACAAGTCTAACACGTTGTCTCTCATTGATTATTTTTACTATGATATTTTCAGTGATTATCTGTATTCTTCATGGAGTGGCAGACGCCAGGTCTAAAAGTTGTCTGTCTCAGACGGAATGTAATACTCGGTTCAGGCAATGCTGTGGGTGCAACAAGTTGATGTTTGAAAACCCTGAGAACCCTGACGAAGTAAGATTACTCTCAGTTTAACCATGTATATTTCCCTTTCGTACAATCAGAAATTATTTTCTTCATCTAAGAATATATCATATGTTAAAATATTTTCCCACTCATTATTAACTTTTAACTTGACAAAACAGCATGTAAACTGTACCAATAATAAGTCATTTTATATTTTCTTCTAAATGTGTGAAAGGCGTTGACGTTGAGGTCTAGTCAGTCTTCCCCAGTCTTTATAAGAAAGCAAGGGTCAACACCTTTTTAGGTTGTTAAGATGGAGGGGGGGGGGTAATTTCGTCCCGTGATATCAATCATTGTGTGTCTTTAGAGCAACTTCTCTTGATCACCTCCATTATTAATCAGTTCATGTGCAATTAAGATGTCAAGCATACACGAACATACGTCACATCTTATTCATGGAAATTCATTTCTTATGTTTTCCCATGATTGTATGATAGATTATCAGGTGGATGTAATCTCTTCTCTTGTAGAGTAGGCTTGGATTGCCATCGGCAGTGATTAAAAACTTCCCACATTGCAAGCAAGAAAAATGTGTCACACGTAAAGAGTGCCGAAATATAAAAGAAAGTGAAGAAGAGACGGAAGGACAGGACGAGGCGGAAGAGGAAGAGCAGGCAGGCACGGAGGGAGAGCAGGCTGGTACAGAGGGAGAACAGGCCGCCACAGAGGGAGAACAGGCCGGCACAGAGGGAGAACAGGACGGCACAGAGGGAGAACAGGCCGATGGAGAGCAAGCCGACATAGTAATTGCCACTACTACCGAGACAGTGACAGACAAACCTACCGAGGCAACTACGACAGCGACAGAGGAAAATGGAGAAAATAACGATGTGTCCGAAACAGGGGATAATACTGGTTCAAATACGCTTGATACGGGTGTGGAGGAATTGGATGAAGAAGCAGCGAAACTAGCTGCCAAAGCTGCCAAAAAGGCTAAACTTGCAGCTAAAAAGGCAGCTAAGAAAGCTAAAAAGGCAAAGAAAAATGCAGAAGGCGGCAAAGCCCCAAAGAAAGGAAGAGGGGGAAAGAAGCGCGGCAGGAAGAACAAAAACCCTAATTAATTATTGACAAACTGCTTTTCATCATTGAAAACGAAACTCCATCCAAAACATATTTATTGGGTACACGTTGACCATGTGTTCGTAAAAGGCCAGAGTGAATCAAAATAATGTTTCACTTTAATATGATCTGCTTCTATTTGAACTTTAAATCATCTAAAATGTCTGTGTGTTTTACAATATGTTCCCGTATATTTGAACCGTGATTTTTGCATATTTGCTTTATTTGACATTTGAACTTAAACTTCATCCCGTCGATCGACGTTTGAACAATGTTAAACATAGAATTGACTTATTCTGGCCTTATGAAAATATGATTATAATCAATCTATAAACTGTAAAATACATTCGCAATCATGATAATTCACATATCAAGAATCAATTTATCTTTGTTTATCAGTTAAATGTTATATTTGGATAGCTGTTGCCCAGAACTGATCCCAGTCTAGAACAATGCCATTAACATTTCGACCCCAGACAATAATGATAAATGAGACTTGAAACTGATCAACAAATCAACTACCATTTTCATGTTTGGAACATTTAGGCTAATTCGAACAATTGTCAACTTATTATCTTAAGATGCAACAAGGACTGAAGACACTTGAAAGTAATTTGGGAAATTTTTGGTACTATTTACAATGTTTTTGCTCATAACATTTCATGCTATGCCTGTTTTCTAAACAAGACAGGTTCTAACAATTCTAATGATGTCAGACATTTTCTAAATATCAAATGCAATAATCCATATATCAATTTCTGACCCAAGGGTCTGTTTCTCAAAAATATCATAAATTCTCAATATACAGATAAGTCTAATCATGTTTATTTCATGATTCAAATATGGCAATGACGAGAAGAGAATGAGGACGGCATAAATACGGCGTACAAGACACCACGACTTTTCACTGCACTACTTGTAATATTGGGCAATATTGGGATATTTTTAGAGTTATCATAAATGTAAATGACAAGAATAGCATCGAGCCGAGAGGCTTCTCCCAATGAAGGTATAGTTGAACCGTTGAAGTGACCACCTAACTGTCGCATTGCGTGGCCTCACAAAAACTTACCAACCAACCAACCAACCAACCAAACAAACAAACAAACAAACAAACAAACAAACAAACCATGTCCATGATATATTATTGAAGAAGCACCACCTGACTATTGACGTGTTACCATTGACTCCTACTCAACTTTTGTACCTGGTACTCGAGGGCAGAACTCCATTCTTGTGTGACAGAATAAGACTCTCTTGGGACAAAACTACATCCTTGTGTGAAAGAATTTTTGCGTGTGACAGAACCGAACTTTCGTGTGACCGGACTACACACTCGTGTGACACACCAACTCTTGTTAATGTCCCTCGGCCCTCCCTCTCTTAGTGTGACCATATACCACTGACTCTACTCAAAAACGCCACAAAATTCGTTAGCATTGCATTCTGAATCATCTGGTAAACTACATTTTAGCTATTAACACATTAAAACGTCAAACTGATGTAGTAAATTACAATTGAATTCTCAAAAGTTTCCAATTATCCCAAAATTGTTTATTGGATACTGTCAGAACCTGCATTCTGAACAACAAATATAAGTCATTTAAATTAATTGCAACAATTGAACAACAAATATAAGTCATTTAAATTAATTGCAACAATTGACCTATAAATTTTCTTTCATTTGAACTGTTGATAAAAATATTTATCAAACATTTATATAGATATTATATACAATGGAATAATTGATACAATGTCCATCTTAATAAAATAAAGTATTTATTCTCAATTATAGAGTTCTAAAACTATCTCCCCCTTGATTTACTGCCGGAATACATAATTAAAATATGCTATTATACTCTCAATTAAGGGGATATATAAATGGAAAACCCTACAGTATCTTTTATTTTATCTTCTTGCTGGATACAACCAATAAGGTAAGAATTGTTTTGATATTATGTTAAAGTTAGATGGACAGTATCATGGGGTTTCTAGCTAGTTGAAAGGCCATGACAGTATTAAATATTAGGCAGTATCTGTAAACGAAGCCTTCTGATTGTTCAGTTCTTGTGCTGTACCAACATGTATTGCTACAGAGGATCACACGATAAAAACGTTATAGAATGATTTGAAGTGCGATACAGGGGTCCGTTTTTGGAACCGTCGTAACTTACGATTTGGTCGCAAGTCATTGTTCGTCATAAAATAGACAATGGATTTCTCGGAATCGTAAGTTAGGATCGTACCAAAAACGAATATATCCTGTGTTGCACTTCAAATCATTCAATAATATAGTATTTTAGACAGTTCTCTCTTATAATACTTTGGACAGTTACATTATAAGAGAGTTCTGTGATAAATGTTATCGCTTGGACGGACGGATAGACGGATGGCTTCTCCAGATCAATATTCAAACTACAATCGGAACGATATTCAATATTTGAATCAAATTGAAATAATTAATTATTACATAACAATGAGTTTGATTCAAATATAATTTTATTTCTGAAGAAGAAGGATGGACATCCTACGAAACGTCAAAAGAAAAATAAATATCTCTGAGAAAGAAAATAAACAACTTTGTTAATAGTGCATTACTACAAGAGAGATGAACATTCATAGAAGATATTCAATATGTTAAAGGTCCTCGGCAAGGTATCTGTTTTTTTAGGATATAACCATATCCAAAACCTCCTAATACATAACCCCTATAAATACACTGTTAAACATATAAATAATGTCAAATCTAGGTAAAGATGTATACACGGTGTCTATGCTTAGCGTTGGTGGCATTGTGTTTGTTGTCACAGATAGATGCGCGCAGTGAACCATTAAGGAAGTTAAAGTTAGTATGTTTTACTTTTCATTTTTGTGCTAATAAAATTGTATTTTGGTAATGATATTTTAAGAGTGAATAAATGAGTCTCTACATTTTACTATCTTGTATTTCACGCAAGATTTCTTCAATGATGGTGGTCTGGTAAAAGATGGTATTACGTTAAAGGGGCAGCTTCAAGAACCATTCATTTACATAAAAAGTCAAATAAAACTTTGGAAATGACATCGGTGGTATATATCAATCTATACCTGTTGACTTAATTTGTGATGACTGGCTTATGAATTCTTAACTTAAGATTTGATTGAATTTTCCTTTTTCTTTGATTCTTCTCTTTCTACCTTTTGGTTTCCCTTTGCCTCAATCTTGCCCTATTAATTTGGGACGACTGGCTTAGAAATTCCTCAGGAATTTCTGTTGATGACCCCCTGTTTATTTCACTAAAAGTGGGTTGAATAGTACACAGTATTTCGAAGATAAAATGGTTACATTGATGACTCAAAAACAACTCTACAGACGTTACTATAAAATCAGAAGAGAAAGATATAGTCTTATTCAGTGTACATTTTGTATATTTCTCAAGGACTAAGTACAGAGACGCAAAGCTGTGCAGTTTGGAGTGCAGTGGGTGCCCAGATCTGGTATGTGAGGGTCCAGAATACACGGACCAGAACCAACGACCAATCATAAAGTGTCTTTGTGACTCATGTGGTTGCGGAGCTGTCTTGTAGAATGTAGACTGATCCATAGCGGTAAGATAACAGAAAGATTTAACTTCAAGAAAATACCCATGAATCATATGGGGAATACTCTCATTGTAATTTTTTGTTTTATGAAACAATGAAGCAAAGACAATGTATGTATTTTCCCATCAAAGCATTTTTCAAGCAATAACAGTTTTCAGTAATCGGTTTTGAATATTGGAACATTTGAACCTTTAAATCAATTAAGTTTTAGTTCAGCTTATTAAATATTATACCTAGGCTGTATAACATGTATAATTTACCATGAACTAATTTATGAAATAAATGATTAAAAAAAAATATATATATATTAATGAATCCGTTAGAACGTTGAACACACATTATAAATATGTTTTCAGATTACTTGGATGATATGGAATTGTCATGAAAATGGACATGGAAGAAGAACTGGTCTTGCATTTAGCACTTTCTACAGTTCTACAGTATAGCCATGTATTAGTATATTATATTGTATTATTAATTACTTTAATAAATGCAAAGAAGTAAAATTTAAGTTTTATACTGACATATTTTATTTCATGAAAATTGTTTCAATGCTATGGCGATACAGGAATGACAAGCACTATTTTTAAGTTAACCATGATTTTACCAAAAAGCAGATTTTTCAAAAAAGTAGGTCAAACTTTTCCCAGAAAAAACCTTGAGAGGGGAAGCACTGTAGAGCTTACATCATGAATGGCATTTTCTGAATGGAGGCTGAGATTGCTGTATTGTCTATTCAGCTTTTCAACAATTTATCTGTTACAGAATTTGGAATTTAAAATCTATATCTCCTGTATTCAGTTTAAACTCAGAGTTAACTTTCAGAGTATTTGATCCTGTGATATTAGATGGTTTGATAAGGTGGACTCCTTGTCTTGTAAATGGATCCCATTTTAACTGATGTCCAATGGTGGCTTTTTCAAATAAACCTGTTGTGATATGTGCACTAGTGTTATCCTGAGTTTGTGAGGTATTTGCACAAGTGTTATCCTGGTCAAGGGAATAGTCAATCCATAATGCAACACCATTACATGTTCCCTCACTGAAATGACAAAATAATAATAATATATCTTTAATTCAGTTCAAACTAACAATATCATCAATTCTATTTTTGCAAAACATGACTGTGGTGAATAAATGAATAAATAAATCAAAATAACATAATGTGACACATCAGTGGAGCAGTCAATAAATAAACTTAATTAATTTTGGTTTTGACTTAAAATCCACCCCCTCATTGTGAAATGTTTACTGTTGAATTGCACATTTGGCACAGATTTCTAAAGAATACTCCTTGAAAAGATCAATTTGAAGAGTATGAAGAGTATAGCTCCAAGAATACAAGAAATTAATAAGTTAACTAAAAATATAACAGCACTCCCTAAATGAAGACGAATCTTCTGCCTATAGTTTCCATCAGAGTTGACTAGATAAAATAAATGAAAATAATAGTAGAAACAAAATCTGTCAATCTGAATCATAAAAGTCAAATTAAAATATGAATAATGTAATAAATTATATAGCCTATATCAAATATTAAATAGCACTTCTTGGTGATTACATAGTCACAAACAGTGTACACGTGTAACAGTTTGTGAATACAAAACATTAAATCCAGACCTACCTCATAAAATTGACAGATCTCTCGCAACAAATTTCTCCTTGACTTGATGGAGGTTTATTGAAGTCTAATTTGATCAGATCAAATGGTTCTGTCAGGGCAACACCAGGGTATTCCCACAGTGGCTGTGCTTCAACATTGTCGTCTGCTAGCTCTGATGCATTCTGGGAAATTAATAACGGTGTGTAAGAAAACAGTTAATGTTTACATGACAGGCATTAATACAGAATGGACTTGTTCTGATTATTTTCTCATGGTTTACATATTCATTCACAGACCAGAATTTTATTTTCAATTTTGACCTCAAATTGGGCCAAACTCAGAATTTTTCTTTAAATGGATGGGATAAAAAAGAATTCTACCTCATTGTGAGCTCCTGGTAATTAACCGATTTTATATCTACAGATTTGTTTGCAGTCAGAAGAAGTATATAATACAGGTGCATACATGTACTCATTCCGATATAATACAATACATGCATTTCCCTATATAGTACAAACATAAAGATGTACTATACCTCTATAAGCTGACCAAATATTCCTAGTTGAAAGCCTTCACAAATTCCAAGAGGGGCACGGATCTTCCACAAGTCTTTGAACTCTACACCGATTGCTTTTATTGTTGCACTATGCGGAAGGACTGAAGCATTGTCTCGAAGGTGATTGGTCAGTTCTTTCATGGCAAACCACATATGGAAATTGTGCCAAGGAAGTATACTTGAAGAGAAGTAAGGCTCTGCTAGTACAATATCAACCTTGACATAAATGAATATAATAGATATAAGGTCAAATATTAAATTTTGAAATCTTGTTAGGGAAGATGGCTTAATAAAAAGGCATATACATCAGGTGAAAGTATACAGTTTAGTGCCATTTTGTCTAATAATTCAAATTGAATATAGAAGTAAACTGAAAAACAAATGAATTTTTAAAGTCAATTGTTTGAGAGTAGGATGTGAAAGTTGGTGATATCAAAGTAAGTTGAGAATGTGAAAGTATTAAGAATGTGTACCTTATGTCCATCTAAGTCCCCTTCAGTCACTTCTGATGGTTCTTTGTTGATCACTTTGACATTTGTGAGTGCATTCCTTGTACAGTAAGCCTCTAGTACTCTCCTGGCTATGTGGTTGGTCTCTAGTACATACTGAAAAGCATAAGCAGTGTTCAATACATGGTGCAGGCAATAGTGCTAAATACATGGTACAGGCAATAGTGCTAAATACATGGTACAAGCAATAGTGCTAAATACATGGTACAGGCAATAGTGCTAAATACATGGTGCAGGCAATAGTGCTAAATACATGGTACAGGCAATAGAGCTAAACACATGATACAGGCAGTAGTGCTAAATACATGGTACAGGCAATAGTGCTAAATACATGGTACAGGCAATAGTGCTAAATACATGGTACAGGCAATAGAGCTAAACACATGATACAGGCAGTAGTGAAATGGTATACAAGTGAGTATACAGGTGATTAATATTCAGTTATACAGGTGAACAAAATATTCATTTGGAGATAAATCCCAATTGAATAAACACAAGGAGCACACGCGTCTCGAACTCACAACCTCGTGGTTTCGGCACCTACTCGCCTAGTTTGAACTTGCTGGTGCTCAAGCCCTCTCGGCCAACTCGACAACCCCAAAAACGGTTGTTTTGTTAGTCGATCTGACTAGAGGCAGCTGATGTTAACATTGAACACACCAGAGGAAGCACAATGGACATTTTCTACACACACACACACATTGCTCAACTATCCTTAAGACATTTAGGTGGTGATAAAGCTAAATATTACTTACACATTGTGCCCCAAGTCTAGCTGCCAGCATTGGTAGAAACGAACCATCACCTAGCAACAGGCAAACACTCCCTGGCTGCAGCACCTAGGTACATTATGAGATTTTATAGCAGTAATAACGTTATAGGCTAGGTGGTCAATCTTGATTTGAAAGTCATCGCTCACTTGTAAATGCCCTGCTTCTAAGTACACATTCAGGACACACAGCCAGCACACAATTCCATTAAATTGGTTAGAAAGTGCAAAAATCTGTTGTGGTCATCGATCGTGACTGGCCAATCATGGTTATATATAAAGCAGTAAAAAGCCATGCTTTTATTCAAGTGTCATTTAATAGAGTTAATCCTTCTTGATTGGCTTGTTACTACATTACATTGATCTATGCTCCTAAGTGTGTGTTCTACTCCACTAATATACACAATAACATGACATATATTGTTTTGGTAATACATGTTATACTTGTATAAAACATTGTTTTGATAATCATTATGTCATAATTACAAAATCATATTCTTTCATGTCAAGGCATAAACTTTTTTTTAATATCGGCATTATACATCATTTCGACTGAACAATGTCATATCACATGGCATGCAATATTCTCATTATACATGCAATTTCTAGCTTTCAGTTTCAGGTCAAATACTATCTTCTATGAATGATATTTTTTATCATGCAATAAAGCTGTTCATTTCATAATATTCATTTCATAATACTGGGAATCTGTGAAAGCTATATGTAATGCAGTTTAAGGTACATTATTTCAAGGATTTCATGGCGGCCATCTTGGATTTTTGCATTTTGCTTAAATTCCTCAAGGGTGAGGGCACCCACTTAGATATCATAACAGGGACCCTTACAATGCATAATATGCAGAGAAAAAACGTTAAAACGATAAAACAAGGTTGGCCCATGTAGCTACAGTACTATACGTAGCATTGGTGATAGAGAGTAACTTTCCAAAATAAATCTGATTATCCCACTTATTACTTTGAACAGCCTTATTGCAGATATTAAACCTAGAAATACCTTGAGAACCTATGTTGACATAAATATGAAGATTAAAAAATGTGGAAATTATTCAATAACACAAAAGTAAATCATGGATCAGTTTTGAAATATTATACTTTGATGTCACCATGTCACATCTATACCTTTGATTCTTGCTTTAGCAATCGAGACATCAAGACATTATCATTTTCTTGACCTTCAAAGCTTATAATTTTAAACGGTATCTCATATATTTACCTTCCTCAAAGCATTGGCATAGACTGAGTTTCTGTGTGAATCATTTAGCATTCCTATTCTGCCCCTGCTGTACAATATGTGAACCCCACATGTACAGACTGGGTGTTCAGTATCAAAGTCTTTTGTTTCCCTGAAAAAAATACACTGGAAAATGACTCACAAACAAAGGTAAATTATATATTTATTCTGCATTTTCATTCAACATTTTTCTCTTTTATTCATTTATTCTACACTGATATTGATATATTTTACTAATTCTCAAATAAGTGACATCTTTTCCTGATTAAGTCAAATAATCTGGATCAAAAACTGGATAAATACACAAGTTATATCAATTTATGCAATCCATGCTCATCAAATCTGTCTATGTCCACTAAATAAGAACTGCTTACTGCATGAATAATTGGTATCTGGTTGGGTGATCATGATTTTGAACTTTCAGACAGATTGGTGAGTGTCTAGCAAATTTTTGGTTATTAATTTATCCTGGACATACTCATATTTTGTTGTGATATTTACCAGGTACAATGTACATACCCTTTTGTAACATCAAACCAGAGGCTGTAATCGTCATGAAAACTATGAATGTTTACTTGGTCTCCCTTAGCAACCGTGCAACTACTGGGGGGATAATAAACTGCCTGCATCCAATGATCCCTCCACTGCAAAGAACACATACGAGGGCCAATCAATAAGTTTGTGACAAACACATCTGAGGATTCATCAATAAGAACAAGTTTTCCGAATCAAAGGACCCATCGAGGCCAATGATGGCCAGAACTCAGTGGTTTCAGTTAAATGTCTGACCTTACTAGACAATCAAGTTGGCAACTTGCACAAGTCTAACCTGCATATTCTTTGGTTCAGGATGTCCCCACCTGGGGGCGCAACTGAGCATGACATCACCATCCAAATCCATTTGAATATCCCACCACATAAAGATGGCATCACAATCACCACTCTGTAATGCTGTTGTGGTTTTCATACTTTTATCACTGAATTTGATCTCAGATTTACCACTGTAGTCAAACCTGGAAGAACAAACTCTCAATACATGTCATTGTTCACAGAGTGCAAATTCTAATTTAACTCTGCAAATACTCATCCTCCTAAGCCGTTGTCCAGAATCCGTACCTCCTTCATCCCCCTGCTATAACCAATTTGGAAGCACCCGATTTAACTGAATCACGTGATCTAATTATGCGCAATTACTTATACATTTCGCAGTGTTGCGACAGCCAATCAGATTGCGAGTTCTTAATCGGGGAAACTTTCTTATCGCAGGGGGTAAAAAGAAAGAATATATTCTGGTTTTTGAAGCCCTGTGATCAGAGGATGCAAATACCACAAACATACATTTTGAAGGTAACTAGGTGTCAGTGCCTGGTAGCTGATGAAATATCTGCAACATGAAAGCACGATGAGTAAGGTCTGACAGGCAGACACTCTATTGTCTTGTGATGTAAGAAACCTTACTTACATGTATAAAGTTGTTAGCAGCATTTGATGGTTACAATTGTTTAATTAAATATACAATGCAAAAACTAAAAACATACCAAAATACTTTTTCTGGTTCAGTGATTGGTTGAAATTGGTCATGTGACAGCTGATCCATCTGTATATCATGTACAGCAGCTGCACCTGGACAATTGGTGACATCATTAGGCGGTATGATGTCATCACATCCTGGGACTTTGATTGGTTGAAGTTTGTTGAATCTTTTAGTGAAGTCTGACTGAACAACTTGTACATACATGGTGGCAGCAGTGGGGACTACGATACAGTCTTCCTAAAAACAACCATTTTGAATTAGAATTAAATTCAGTAAAGTTACCATGCTTACAAAGTAGCTGTGTGATAACTGTGATTGATGGTTAATGAGTTCAATGAAGTAAGAAATGAATATAACTGTGACTGCTTTGGATTTGTTGACAAAGAAACATTCCCATAGCATACATCAGATTCCAAAAAGACAATGACTTTCAGTTTGAACAAACTAGGGAGGGATCAATCTAAAATGTCATTAAGTTTTGAGACAATATTTGTTTAAATGTATTGACCAAGTCCATTATATAAATATGTATGACTGCGATCTACAAATTTATCAACTACTAAACCATACCTGTAAGAGACATTTGTGTGCGTGATGGAATGTTCCAATGGCCCCCTCACCTATGAGTTCAGTGTCAAACACCTCAGTTACCAGAATGTTAGCCCTATGGGACATATCGCCATCTATAACATAAAGCATAACTTTTCTACCTATCCATACCTATCTATCCATCCTTTTTACAAGGCAAACATTATTTGGAAAAGATGTGCCTTGTCATAGTTCCCTTTGAATCTAGCAATTAACCATGTTCATCTCAAATTCCCTGCCAACTGGTGTTTAGACATGATGACTAAAAACCAAAATTAGTAAATATATAATCAGAATTTCGATGACAAGAAATGTAATTTATGAAAAAAAAACTGCTATGTGTATGCACTCAGCTATGCCACATTCAACTTTAGTCATCGTGGCTTGTTTTTACTACTACTCAAAATTTGTGCAATCTCTTTGCATCCGGTGTGGTGGTAGCCATTAAAAGCATTTATTTCATTCAAGTTAGTCTTTAGTGAAACTTTCACATTGTGTTCTGTCAAGTTCAGTTTTCTCTGCAACAGATACAGTGATCTCCCCAGCATTTCAACAAGTGGAGACTGAACCCACTTTAGATTTTAAGTTTGCAACCGCCTGCGAATCCATTTGTACCCATTTGAAGAGAGAACACTAAATTGTGAAATGAGAATCTAGCAAGCACTCAAAAATCCTGGAGAGAACCATGGGGTGTAATTTCTAGTTTACCTGGTCCAACTGTGATCTGAGTGGAGCGCTTAGGAATGAGTTTAATTTTATCTCCAAATCCATTGGCTTTTATGATGTCACGTGCACACTGGGCCACTGGAGTAAAGGCCTGAAACATATTACACACAAGGCATTAACATGACAAAATGTCACCACCTAGTTGCTCACAATATTATGAGTTCAAACTTAAGTCAGATTTGAATTTCTGAGAACTTGTAAAGTCAAATTTGAACTTCTGAAAAGATGTAGATGATTTTGAAAAAAAAATTTGGTCAATTTGAAGCAAGTTGAAAACAGACCTTTTTGACCTTTTTTGACCTTAAGAAGGTCATTAAAGGTCAAATGTCAAATCTAAAGTCAGATTTGAATTTCTGAGAACATGTAGATGATTTTGAAAAAAAAAATTAGTCAATTTGAAGCAAGTTGAAAAAAGACCTTTTTGACCTTTTTTGACCTTGAGAAGGTCATTGAAGGTCAAATGTCAAATCTAAAGTCATATTTGAATTTCTGAGAACATGTAGATGATTTTGAAAATTTTTTTTAGTCAATTTGAAGCAAGTTGAAAACAGACCTTTTTGACCTTTTTTGACCTTGAGAAGGTCATTAAATGTCAAATATCAAATCTTAAGTCAAATCTAAAGTCAGATTTGAATTTCTGAGAACACGTAGATGATTTTGAAAATTTTTTTTAGTCAATTTGAAGCAAGTTGAAAACAGACCTTTTTGACCTTTTTTGACCTTGAGAAGGTCATTAAAGGTCAAATGTCTAATCTAAAGTCAGATTTGAATTTCTGAGAACATGTAGATGATTTTGAAAAAAAAGTTAGTAAATTTGAAGCTAGTTGAAAAAAGACCTTTTTGACCTTTTTTGACCTTGAGAAGGTCATTGAAGGTCAAATGTCAAATCTAAAGTCATATTTGAATTTCTGAGAACATGAAGATGATTTTGAAAATTTTTTTTAGTCAATTTGAAGCAAGTTGAAAACAGACCTTTTTGACCTTTTTTGACCTTGAGAAGGTCAAATGTCAAATCTTAAGTCAGATTTGAATTTCTGAGAACACGTAGATGATTTTGAAAAAAAAATTTAGTCAATTTGAAGCAAGTTGAAAACAGACCTTTTTTGACCTTGAGAAGGTCATTGAAGGTCAAATGTCAAATCTGAAGTCAGATTTGAAGGTCAAATGTCAAATCTAAAGTCAGATTTGAATTTCTGAGAACATGTAGATGATTTTGAAAAAAAATTTAGTCAATGTGAAGCAAGTTGAAAACAGACCTTTTTGACCTTTTTTGACCTTGAGAAGGTCATTGAAGGTCAAATGTCAAATCTGAAGTCAGATTTGAAGGTCAAATGTCAAATCTAAAGTCAGATTTGAATTTCTGAGAACATGTAGATGATTTTGAAAAAAAATTTAGTCAATGTGAAGCAAGTTGAAAAAAGACCTTTTTGACCTTGAGAAGGTCATTGAAGGTCAAATGTCAAATCTAAAGTCAGATTTGAACTTCTGACAACATGTAGATGATTTAGAAAAAAATTGAAGTCAGTCTAAACAGTATTTGTTAAGTTATAGGAAGTTGTAAGAAATTGTTACAGACGCCGGACGCCAACCACCAACCGCCGGACGCCGTCGCAAAAAAACGGAGACCATAACAATATGTCACCACTTTTGGTGGTGACATAAAAAAAACGGAGACCATAACAATATGTCACCACTTTTGGTGGTGACATAAAAACAAAACACTAACTTCATAAACATCATATTGCTAGAGAATGCAGGAAGCAAGAAAACTAAATGAATGGATGAGTGTTGAACATACACTCTGCTAACAAAAAAGGTCATATGGTTCAATCACCAATTTATTTTCTGACATATGAACCTTTATTTAAAATCTGCACATCACATATACAAGGTGATCCCAAAAAACAGATACCAACAATTGAAATGATATGTATTTTTGGGTCACCCTGTAATATATGATTGCACAATGACTAGGAAGTATCTTTTTAGGGGCATAATTATTCTTTTCAGTTGTGTAATTATTCTCAAAATATTTAATTATTCAAGGCTAAGACTTCATCAGTGAAATATTAAATGTATTGAGACAAGTTATCATTGCATCCTTAATATTGATTTGTTGAAACTGAAGTAGCAATGGAGCATACATGTCAAAACAGCATGATGGAAAAAGTTCATTTATTTTTCCCAAAGAACAGTCGATATAAAAAACTAGATTTTCTTTACATTCCTTGTAATTCCAGGGGTGAGTGCACTGTGATAGAAGACAAAATGATGTAAAGTTAGGGGATATAATATACAGGGTGTCCCGAAAGTATAGGGGCCCCCTAGGAAAATTTTGTGTTTGGCCAAAATTAAATACATTTGGGACACCCTATATATGCCAGATTTTACCTCACAGGCTGTGATAGAGTCTGCCCCACACCTGGCTGCCATCATAGAAAGCAGACCTGTTCCTGTTCCGATATCTAAAACATTTGCCTTTTTGCCCTCTGAATGCATCTTTTGTATGGCTTTCTTCAGTCCTATATAGTATTTCTTATTCTGAAATTAAAATATGATTGAAACAACTTGTATTTACTTAATAGTATTTACATGTAGCTATCATATATTGGGGGCCTCACACAGTATACATCTATCTTCAATTTACAGCTATTTCGATTGCACTAGTAAAAAACATTTAGCAAGAACAAAGGATTTCAATGTGAAAGACATGGAACATAAATGTCATCAATGAGGTCACCATGAATGTCATCGATGAGGTCACAAGGAATACAATCAATGAGGTCACAAGGAATGACATCAATGAGGTCACAAGGAATAACATCAATGAGGTCAAAAAGAATGCCATCAACGAGGTCACCATGAATGTCATCAATGAGGTCACAAGGAATACAATCAATGAAGTCACAAGGAATGATTTCAATGAGGTCACAAGAAATGACATCAAAGAGGTCACAAGGAATAACATCAATGAGGTCACAAGGAATAACATCAATGAGGTCACAAGGAATGACATCAATGAGGTCACAAGGAATGACATCAATGAGGTCACAAGGAATGACATCAAGTTAGACATCATGACCATTCAGATAGAGATCATCAAGTATAAGAATCATCAAAGTTACTTACTCTCTCTTCATCGTGTAGCATATCAGCATATGCAGATCTGAAAAAATCAAGATGATGACAAATTACAGCTCTCTGAACGAGAACAAAGAAAAGGTATATATGATAGATCTAAAAAATATTGAATCCTCTCACTGTACCTATCTTACAATTTATAATTAATGTATGTATAAAGTCCAATGAGTTGACACTTGACATCGGTATGCACGCACATGCTATCTATTGCAAGACTTATGCCTGGCTTAACCGTCACCATGTTATTAAGTGTTTTTAAGTTTCGCAAGGATCCTGCCATGAGTCTTGCAACAGATAGGGTATCTCGGTATGTTGAGCTTCACACAAGTCATATGATCGAAAATCCCACAATGCCCCGTGGAAAGAATAAAATGTTTATTCTCACGTGGGATTTTGCCCCATCTTGACCCATCGAATCTCACTTAGGACCTCATGGGACTCGATGGGCCAAAATCTAAAGGAAAATCCCATGAAGTCCCATGAGGTCCCGGGCATTAGACTATATCCTCTAGTCTGAATTTTTTTTGAAATTTGGAATGAAAATATTCAGACTTAATAGCCCACATATGTTAAAATTTGGGATTGAAAAATATTTGTTTACATAGGAAGTGCCATTCAAAATGGCCGACTGGGTAAATTAATTAGCATATTTGTTACTTCCCCTAGCTTTATTTCCATTTGACAATATGCTGTGTTACTTTTCATAGCATTTAATTGTACCTTACTACTTAATTGAATTGTTATAATGCTTATTTTTGGGAAGGGAAGTTTCCTAAAATTGATAATTGTGTGCCTGAAATTTCCTGTTTTTTTCCCACAGGAGGGACATAATGATCAATAGACTGAATTCTCAGGAAATTCAGTCTATTGGATATAGACTAGTTGAACTCCTGTGGTATCTTTGTACAGTATTTGAGGTGCTCGTTTTTCTGAATGATCTCTACCATGTTCCCAGATATAGATTAAATATAAACGACCAAAAGTTCATTTTATTTCATGTGACTTACATAACGTTTTTTCTAGTCCTCATTTCCACACCAAGTGAACTTATTTTTTCAGCTACCCTTGCCCAGCAACTATCCTGTGACTGTATTGTTATTTGACAGCTTAGTGGTGCCAAAAGAATATTTGCATCCTTCTCAATGAGAGATACTAATAATTCTTGTTCATCATTTGTCCAATTCCTTGCCCTCGACATGTTTCTTCGACTACCGTCTGTTCAATGTAAATCGATTTGCATTTTGGCGCACTTATGTCTTGCACAAGTGTAATGCATGCGCAACGAATCAAACCATATCAATTATTGGATTTCTATCCAATAATTCAGTGCCAGTGTCCTTTTAAATTTCGCGCCAAAATACACTCTAGATTTGCGATCGCAACTTACGTTTTAATTGTTTTGCGATTGCTTTGCGTCTGCGATTGCGCTCAATTGATAATATCACGCATCGCATGCGTTACGAATTGCGATCGCAATCGCATCGCAGACGCAACGCAACTATTTGCGACCAGATGATAATGAGGCCTCAGGTGACACATCCTAGTTTTGAGCATTTAAGTCGTCCTAAGAGAGATTTTAGAAAATAAAGAGATCTGTGGACGTAATATTTTTACTGTGGATAAGTGTTTATGAGATACACTTTTAATATTTAGATTAAAAACGGGACAACATTGTTGCATATGTTCTTATTTTGCTGTGACATATAGTTTTACATTTTTAAACAAAATGGCGTCTTGACTCATTTAAGACATACAGATTTGAACATGCGACTTTTGAAGTTTGGTTTTCTCACTTCCTTTGTATTTTTTCTTATGAATACTAGTATGAATACTACTGCTAAATATCTAAATAAAAAATAACAAATGTCAAAGTGAAAATAACAAATAGCAATATAAAAAATAATAAGTTATTGGATATAGACTATCCCGGGCATGAGGTCCCACGCCCATTGGTGTATATTGGGCTAATATCATATAAACGATAGTGTAAATAGTTCTCTGTGTAATTGGCTATATAATGAATTCGAAGTGTCTGGAGTACCTTAAAATTTAAGGCTCTTTAGCCAAAATGCTAAAGAGCCTTAAAATTTAAGGCTATTTAGCTGTGAACATAGTGTTTTGGCTAGAGAGCCTTTGTGTTTATAATCCGTGTTTATATTGTTTTTTATTGAAGTTTTCGTCATCTAAACAATAAAACAACACTCTCCAAAGTTTTTCAACCCAGAATGCCACTTAAAAATTTCACACATGTATAGAGTTGCAAAAATGTTAGCTCCATCATGGAGAAACACTCAGCCAAGGGACATCACAGAATACACTTCCAAATATATTGCTCATTAGATTTCAATGCTGATTTTAGAATTTTTCACGTGACGAGATATTTTTGCATAATATTTTCCTCACAAATGAGAATTTAAGCACATGAGAGAGCACAAAGAAAATTTACAGTACAAGAGGTGAACTGTCGAGGAAACAGCGGCTTATGCAACACAACAACAACACTTTTATCCTAGCCTCCACTCCATCAATAAATGTCTATACATCAAAATCTTTACTAAACGGACGTTGTGATTTATAGTGGATAAAATGGTAAAAATAACATTTTTCTGGCTATATACGTGATTGCCTGGTCTTACACCTTCTCTGGTGAACCAGAGACATATATTTTCGATATATGCATGAGTCCGTTCAAAATCGATGTTTGAACCATTAAAAAGCCAAATTTAGACTGAGGATTGAAAAGGTTCTTTTATTTCTCTCGGTAGACCGGAAGTAAATTTATGAGTCGAGCAAAAAGTGATAATGTTTTTTTATGAAGTGGGGAAGTCAAAACTTACTTCGGTCCAAAGCCTTCTCTATATTCCGGCTTTGAGGAGGAAGATTGAGCTGCCTTAGTATTATAAATATTGTAAATCATTGTGTCACACGCACAGTAAATATGGCATAATAATATGAAATATACCTTTATGTATAGATTTGAAGAACATCAGCTCACATCCCCGTCTGAATCTATTGTTATATTTGATTTCTTTAAGCGAGAATAATTTCAAATGTTATTCACGTCCAGAACCGGAAGCCATTTTTAGCTACAGCGAGAAAATTTCACCATGTGTCAAACTCCGAAATGAAATTTTGAAATATCTAAATCCAGACAAGCAACGCTTCATCCTAAATATGATTAATATTCTTAAAAATATTTATAAAATTTATTAAAAATGAGTTCTAGGTGCGTGTAGGTGCGTATAGCACAGTACATACGAAATCAATGAAGTTTCGTCTAGCTGTAAGCTAGAGACTCGAGTAAGTCAAAACAGTACTAATAGAAGTCATAGTAAGCATTAGAAGATCATTTTAAACCATATAAATCAAATCGACGGCAAAGTTAGTTGAAATGACTGAAATCTTTATATGTTATCTTCTTCATCTTCGCGGACCTCAGAGAAGACACTTCCGGTTTAATAATCAGTGATTTTATCGATCAAAAAAATCTTCTTTTTGAATTTGTCTGATATCTGCTAATATGGTATGTATATTTGTGCTGATTGTTGAATTACAAAATAGGTTGGGTATAGAATATGTGAAAGTCGTTTGATCTTGTCCCAGAAGCAACATTTCGTCATTTCTGTCACCTGGAATTCCTTTAAGACTCTCTAGCAGAATTGGCTATCAAAATGCTAAAGAGCCTTAAAATTTAAGGTCTCATGGAAGTTAACAGGAAGTGACAAAACAAAAAATGACAAAGCCATGCTGGATTTTGAAAATTTTTTGAACCAAGATAACAGAGTTCTGTTTGGACCTCCAGTCAGTTCAACTAGTTCCACATATCATTTACATGACCAGGAACACAGTTGAAATGGTCAGAATGACCATAAACATGATAGAATAACCTTTTCAGCCCTCTGAAAATGTGACTAAAAAATAGCTAAGAGTAGGTGCTCAGGAAAGGTCACTGAACAGAATATTTTGACTTTTTCAGAAAATGTGCCCAATATATTGCTCTAAATGATACAATTCAAAAAAATTTGATATCATTCTTAGAAAAAGAAAAAATTGAAAAAAACTGAATTGAAAATCGATCTATTTTCCTTTTTACTACAGCCATTATTGTTTCAGACGATTTTTTAAAATTTCAAAGATTGTGTCATTTAGAGCAATATATTGGACACATATTCTGAAAAAATCAAAAGATTCTGTTCATTGACCTTTCCTGAGCACCTACTTTTAGCTATTTTTCAGCCACATTTTCAGAGGGCTAAAAAGGTTATTTTATCATGTTTATGGTCATTCTGACCATTTCAATTGTGTTCCTGGTCATGTAAATGATATTTGGAACTAGTTAAACTGACTGGAGGTCCAAAACAGAACTCTGTTATCTTGGTTCAAAAAATTTTCAAAATCCAGCATGGCTTTGTCATTTTTTGTTTTGTCATTTCCTGTAACTTCCATGAGACCTTAAGGCTCTTTAGCCAAAATGCTAAAGAACCTTAAAAGGCTCTTTAGCATTTTGGTAACCCATTTGGCTAGAGAGCCTTAAATTTTAAGGCTCTCCAGGCACGGCCTAATGAATTACATCTTCAAACAGAAACCTACAGCGGGTATGGGGCTACTTCCGTAAAACAACACATGTTTTGGAAAATAAATCAAGTAAAATATCACAAATTGACATTTTACCTGGCAACTTCTTGATGATAGTCATAATTTTCAGCCTTTATAACCCACTCTTGTTTTCCAGTCATTGCGTTCACTTGTGAGAAGAAAGTACTCATCGGAGAGGTCATTTTCTTGGTAAAAATTGCAGAAATTTTAGCGATCTTTTTCCCTAACACGGGCGCTGACATATTCCCATCATGCAACATTTTCAGAAGACTGCTTCCGGTCAGAAACTGAAAGAAAAAAAAGTTCACAAAAAGACCAATTTTGAAGATATTGAGAGGTAGTGTACACCAATGGGTCATTGATTTATATCATATTCTATTCAGATTTTGAATACCAATTTATTTGTGCATAATTTATCATATTTCGGAGCAATCCTTCTAGAGTCCATTTCACTTATCCCGTTCCCGGACTTCATTTCGTCAGTAGATCTAGAACGGCAAAAATAAGAAATTGGGAGACCATTGTGCAATAATATATGGAAAAGTATATTCATAATGTACATGAATGACATTTGTATATTTCAGATTTTTTAGTTTTTTGTGCAATAAGCCTGTGCCGTCTTGTAATTTGAAGAATTTCAGCCATGTTAATCTTATTGAAAATAACATGGCAGAGAAACATCCAAATATAAGAGGCCACACACTTTATAAGCCAAACTAGAAGCGATCCAAGATATACAAATGTCATTCATGTATATTATGAATATACTTTTCCATATATTATTGCATAATGGCATGGGCTTTCAACTAGAAGGGTATGCAACTCTATGCAATAACATGAGACCTTCAAAATGAGCAATGACATGCTTCCCTTTTATGGCAATATTTCAAAAAGTATTAGATAAATGTATATGTTTTAGTATTATTTTGAATAAAAATCAATTTTTAATATGATTCAAGCATAAAATATATTCAATATCATATAAAAGTAAACAAAGGAGACCAATAAGAATAAGAGTTATCAAGATGTTCTCTTTGAGTATTGCACTGTGGGTAATTATTCAAGAACACATTCCAATAAAAACATAATTTGTGGGAGAATGTTCACTTTCTGTATTGTCATAATTATGATGAATTCCAATTTTTGTTAAATTATCAAGATGTATGTAGAAGATCATGTTTTTATTTTTGAGTTATTTCTTTTAATCATCAATAAAAAGTACAAAATAAGATTTTGTTGGAATGTGTACATTCTCCAATTTTGAAAACCCATGGCAATGTTTATGTATGAAATATGGGAAGTTGCCTACCCTTCTAGTTGAAAGCCCATGATAATGGTCTCCCAATTACTTATATTTGCCGTTCTACTGACGAAATGAAGCAGTGAAATTTTTTCTAGATCTAATCAATTTTTTTTCTAATTTTTTATTTTTTGGGAAACCACAGTCTGACTCAGACTCTGAGTCAGTGACAATTTCAATGGTTCGAATCGTAATCATTCAATTGCAATTTGAAGCATAGTCCGAATTTTAAAGATTAACAATTGTCGATATGATATTTTCAAGGGTCGACAGTGATTATTGTGGGAGTCAGACAAATGGGGTTTGGTTCATTTGGATTCGGAGAAATAGGATTCAGACAATTGTGATTCGAATCAATGGGGCGACCCCACTTCTGTCTTTCTGTGCAGTTTCAACTCTATCACTCCTGCACTCAACAGAACTTGATTGGTTCCAATGTATGTATTGATCGATAAACCTGTACTTCACACATGGTTATCTATCAACAATTGTTTTACACAAAAATTTGTATTGCAGAGTTTTTTTCTAATATTTTATTGATTTCAAAATAGTTTGACTTATAGTTTATTCATCATAATAAGTTCATATACAGAGACACACTTGTCTATTTGTACATAATGATGCCACCAGTGGTTGTTCTGTATTGAGAAACAGTTTTGAAATCTATGAAATCTAAACAAAGTCACCCAGATTGATGCATATGCATGAAAAGGTAAGAAGATGAGCAATAGCCAATTTATTTCAACAAACACAAGGTGTTCAATCAATAATGATGTTGATAAAATGGTGTAAAATGTATATATAAGTAAGCACTCAAATTTCTAGTGCTTTTAACTCAAGCTTTAAGTTTCTTCTTGTGTATGATTCATATTTCCTCAACATAACCAGATTAAAATGAAACTGCTGGATTTGAAACATTGTAACGATATTTGGAATGTAATTGGTCAGTTCAGCGCAACATCACCCTGGGCTATTAATTCTACAAATGTCAATTTATAAATGCATTTTAAATCTTACTCAGAGTCATTTAATTTTAGAAATCACCCTGATCCTCAAGCAGGGATCACAATGGAGATAGTTGATGTGTTTGCATCTGCAACAACACCCAGCAGAATATTACATGACAGAGCAAACAAGCCAAAAGATCGCAGAAGCTGTTGTGTACCTCAATGCACTAAAACTGGCTCCGTCATAGAAAATGGAAAGAAGATAGTCTTTCACATGTAAGATACACTCATGGTGTAAATTAAATAAACTAGACTTATTTAAGCAAAGGTCTCTTAAGCCATGAAGAACTTTCCTGTTCAACTTATATGTAAAACGTAATCAACCAAACTAATATAATATATACCAGGTATATATATTACATGGAAATAGAGATTATTTTGTCATAGAGTCAACTCTTTTGTATTATTTAACAATGTATGTATTCATACTTGTATTTAGTTCTTGTTTGTTTCAGGCTTCCATCCGATCCTAAACGTAGGCAACTTTGGATCATGAAAATAAAGCGGGATATTGGTCCAACCTTTAGAATAACTGAAAGTACAGTTGTTTGCTCACGTCACTTCAAAGAAACTGACTATAGATACACAGGAGGATATTCCGGTAAATGCTACCTTAATAAAGATGCTGTGCCCTCAATCTTTGATTGCTGGAAAGACCATAATAAAAAATATACATGTATATACTCATCAGCTCCAAACAGACAACCGAGAATAAGAAGTTCCAAAGATACATTAAAATCATCCAATGTGCACACAAACTTTAATGAGGAAATCACCGTGTCGTGCAGCGGAAATATCTCAAAAAATGATGAAGTAGTAGCCAAGGGGAATAAAATAATCACCAGGACTGACAATGAAATCACAAAATGGGATGAGAAAATTGTTTGTCAGGATGAAAAGTTGCTTCGACTAGATACAAAAATCGCCAGATGTCAAAAAGCAAATAATGACTATGATGTTATAAATAAGAGTAACATGGCAATTCCTTTTCTTGAAAATGAACTAGTTAAAGAGAAGGCCAAAACAACCAAATTACATAAAACTATAAAGGAATGTGTATTTTGCATTGATAATATACTTGAAAGTGATGTAAGGTTCTACACTGGGCTTCCAAGTATTGACGTCTTTAATTGCTTGCTTGACGCAATAAATCCTGGAAAGAATGGAGAAAATATTATCTACAGTATAAGTAGAAGCAATGCATCTATCAAAGAGCGGGTATTAAAACTGAAACAAGGGCAACCTAGAGCCTTATCACCAAGGAGGGAATTCTTTATGTGGCTTTGCAGAGTGCAGTTAGGTCTGTGTGAGCAGGATTTGGCCTACAGATTTCAAGTTAGCAAATCAACAGTCAACTCAATCATAATGTCGTGGTCAAATTTCCTATATTTGCGCTTTGGCTCCTTGAACATCTGGCCAACCAAACAGCAGATTATGGACGATATGCCAGATGACTTCAGAGCCACCTATCCTAGTACACGTGTCATTATTGACTGTATCGAGATCCCAACTGAGACCCATTCTCCCTTTGTTCTACAGTCAAAATCGTACAAGAGTAACAACAATACCCTCAAGTCACTGATTGGTGTAACGCCAGCAGGTCACATCTCCTTTGTTAGTTCCTTATACCAAGGGAATATCAGTAAGAGAGAAATTACCATAAGGAGTGGACTACTAGATATGCAATATGATCAAGGTGATGGCATTATGGCAGACAAGGGGTTTGATATCCAAGACTTGTTAGACCCACTTGGTGTTAAATTGAATATACCTGCATTTTTTAGAAGGCGTGGTAAGATGACTGCCTCTAAAGTTCGTAAGACACAACAGATGTCGAACTTTAGGATTCACGTGGAACGATGGATGAATAAACTCAAAAACTTCCAAATTTGGAAACAACCCACATTATTAACGAAGACTGGTACCATCAATCAGATGTGGGGAGTATGTGCATACCTGACTCTGTTTCAAGACGCAATATTATCTGTAGTGAATGTTTAAATCAGAGTATGTTAACCCAATTACTCAGATGCGAGTAGGTAGTTACCAGTTTCGCCACCAGGTGGCTGATTTGGGGGAAATCACTCTTAAAAATGAATTACTTGAGTATTTCCCAAGTATAAAAATTACTTAGTTTTACTTCATTTTACTTAGGTTTGACTTATATTGTCATTTTGAGTTTTTTAATTGCTTAATTATGTAAATGAGTATTACAATTACTACAGTAAGTATTTCAATTTCTCTCCTTGCATTAGTAAATTCACCATAAATTCAGAGTGCCTGTGAAGTCATTTTAATTTTTTTTAATTTATATATATATCATTGTTTTAAATAACTTATAATTACTTGTAATTACTTTGAATTACTTAAAAATTATTCAGTAGTTCAAGATTATTTAAGTAATTTTTTACTTAAGATGAGTAGTACAAGTTCTCAATATAAGGAAATCAAAGTAATATTTTTTAAGAGTGATAACATGGCAGGGTATTACAAAGTTCCCTTAAACTTGAATATTCATCAGTTTTAGTGGTTCACTTTTCATATTACCCTCATGTATCTGATACTTATACAAATTAAAATTTGGTTCGTCTCAGAGGTGTTTGGATTAGACAGGTTTATCTGTATATGACCATGATGTCAAAAGAATAAAGATTATTTAAAAGATTTTAATATTATGAATAATGTTGTGCAGCACTGATGAACAAGAATTTTCATTGTTAAATATCTAAGTAGTATTGCTTCAAGACCCTGCCCCCCCCTTTCATCAAAATTCACCATATTTAGAGAAAACATCCCCCTGTTCTATTTTCAGATATTTTTATCACCACACTCTTTTCTTAATTTTTCATATTTAACATTTCCAAAATATTCAGTTTTCTGCTGGAAAATTTTATGTTTTCAGTTTGTAAATTATTTTTTTAGACAATGAGATAAAAGTCATATCCTTCTTCTGTAATTTCAGTTTTGCTAAAATCAAAAATTGATATTTATTTTTTAGTAAACTGCCAAGACTTTTTGAACCTTAGATATTTAAGATTGTGATTGGATGTTCTTAGAGTTAATTATCCCACCGAAGGGTGTTTGTGGGGATATAGAGAAGCCATCCATCCTTTTATTCATCCATCCATTTGTTTGTTCATTTGTGTGCCTGGTCAATAACTCAAATACCAGATGAAGGATTTGGTACAATTTTTTTAGACATGCTTTATGAGTGTCGGACCTCTGCTCAAGATGGAATTGTCAATATGGCCACTCAATTCAAATGTGTGGTCTTGAGTACATGTATCAGTGATCTCCCCACTCCCCAGCATTCCAGCAACAAGGGCCTCCACTTGATTAAAACTAAAATATGTGCACCTTATCAAAATTAACCTGTTGAGAAAACCCTGGCGACATCACTGTGTATGTTGATACGTTTTTACCAAATTCATGTTATTATTGAATCATGACTGAAACTGAGAAGACATCACTGTTAGGCTGAACATTACAGTCAAACTTATATATCTGAACACCTCTCAATGTAAAGTACATGTATAACAAACACTTTCTACACAATTTTGTAATCTCCCATTTGCTTCTTTGTTAAAGAAACTGAAATTTGAACATCTACATTTCTGAACACTTGGCCAGTCCCAGTGTTGTATACACTCGTTAGGTTTTACTGTGCCTGACTATCTGCCAGTTAGCACTGCATAAATGCGTTAAGCTATATGAAAAAATTAACTCTGGGACTTGGCTTAATCTTTGGGTATGTGGATAATACTGGATATGTAAAAGTATGTTTTTTCTTATTTCAGAAGATGGAGAATGATGTAGATTCAACTGCAAGGCAGCAAAAACAGCGAGCCTTCTTGCGGGAACAATACCTCAGACTTATTTGTGCAATGTCGAAAAAACAAGTTGATATTACCTTATATGGTAAAAAGAAAGCAAGTGCCATATTTGGAAGTGCAGATGTTGACATGTTACATTTTCAAGTGACAGATTTGGAGACTCCTCTCGGGACTTTACCAGCTGCATTGATTAGGACGTCAGATATTGTGTCTATTAAAACATCAATGGAAAGCTAATGTCCTAGTTCAATGTGAAGTCGTAAATAGTCAACATTCAGGTGTATATGTTATATCACAATTATGGATTATAGATTGTGACATCTGTGTGAAGCTGTGAACTTGGTGCAACATGAAGTTCTTTTGTGAGTATAAAACATTTTTGGATGTAACCTTATATGGCAGCTAGCTGAGCATGTCACACTCACATTGACAAATGTATAATCCAGCTGGGAGACAGAATCAACTATCATATTATTCGTAACCTCTCATCAGATGATGTAATACAGACAGACAGTGAGACACTGGTGATATTCTCAAATCCACAAGAACTGAATATGAAACATAAAGAACAATGTTTTGAATTATGAAGATTTACAATGCTAAATAAATGTGATAGATGGGTCTTAAGTATACCCATTTATGACTTAGTGAGAGACTTACCAATACTTAATCTTGAAAGGAACTTCGTGGCCTTTATATTGAAAGTACTTTTGATCCTAGACATATACTTCATTAATATGTCTCTCTGTTTCATGAAGGCATAATCAATATTTATTTGAAAAATTGATATTTTGTTTGAATGTAATGATTTTGTGACTCAGAGACCATATTTGTTCACCAAAAATTGAAATAATTTCCTTGAATTGATAGAAAAGTTTATGGAATTTGGAAGTACTTTACTTTCAATAGATAAATGGCCCATGACAAGTTGTAAATCAAATATACTGTTTTGAAAACTGAATGAGCTTTGAGAAGAAATTTAAATGTTCTTTCTTACCTGAAGGTTGTAGTCCTTTACATTTTGCTGATGACTTAATTTGAAAATCAGGAAATGCTAAATTACAGTTGTGGAAGGAGTGTTCACTCTAAAATGTAATTTATAATTGTATTTTGAGACTGCATCAATGAATTGACCTGGACCCTTAATGTTGTATCTTGCAAATGTTGGCCTTTGAGCTTTCTCAGCAAGGTGAATACAAAGGTCTAGGTGGTTGACAGAAAGGTAGTATGGACTGAATGTTTATAAGCCAATGTAGGTAAAACAATTGATATCTCCCAAGAAACAGGTCATCAAATGGTCTAACTTTTCACGAAATAATGGAATTGCAGATACTCATTTTGAATGTAGTAATTTTGATTTAGAATTTCATTAAGAGTTTGATTATATTGGATTGAAAATATGTGTACCTGTGCATTAGTGGAATACTCTCGGTTCAACTTAGGAGGTGTCACCGACAGGTTCGATAAACAATTATCTTAAAGTCAAAGAACTATAAATAGTGTTCCATCATCAAGAAAGGTGTTCCACTGAACACGTTTCACTGTATATGGATGGCCAATATTTTGTAACATGTGTATTTGCTGATTTTGATGAATAAACTACATTTCTGATAAGTATACTGTACATTGATTGGTTTGGATGTTATCTCTATATTAGATTAAAGATATTCAATATAAATTCAACTTTAAAGTTAAAGTATCAATCAAATGTAGAACAATAGTTGCAATAAAGTACAGAATACCAAGTGTAAAGTGTTTCAAAGTTTTATTGTATTTAGTACCCTAATTATTACATATTGATTTCCCATATAGGCCTAGATGGCACATGCAGTTACAATTCAACATGTTAAAATATAAGAAATACTATGGTGTATCAGTGTGCGTAAATTAAAATAACTCATTACAGTGAAAGACTATAATTTATTCATGCTTTCTCAACTACTAATATAAGATCACATACTGTCTCATTTAACAGTATTTATTTAATATGTACAATTATTATCATATATGCTCAATTACTGCACTGTTCAGCTAAATGCTACATGATCATAGCATGTTATTCATTTTTAAGATCATAATAATTTATGTAATACATATTTGAATTGTACTGTAGTTAAAAAATAAAGATATTCAAATACATATTTCATAGATTTTCATTTGCATAGTCACTTAAATCGACCGCCTGATTCTCAAGTTTGATGCACCTAATATGCACTAAAATACCAACATGGAACATTTAGTTGATGTTTAAATCGCAACAGATTCAAAGTATGTACAATTCTAAATAGATGAACTCAATTTCAAAACTAAAAATCAGCATCAATGAGAGATGCACAAAAAGCATTATGTTGAAACAGAAACATATTGTACATGTACATCACCCTCACATGCATTGACATCACACTACAATATGATTTACAATATCTAACCATGATACATGGCAGTTAACACCACAAATAACAATATATTCATAAAAATGAGGTGTGATAAAATAACGCTGTTTCCATAGAAACACGCTGTTGTTATAAAACAGTTACTATGGTAACAATGTGTTGCTATGGAAACAGTCAACTATGAAGGCAATATTACATTGCATTAGCCACATTAGGCAGTTCATTTTTTCAGTTATTTAATACATATTTACAAAACTGATATGCAGAATGTCCCCTGGCTCATAAAACCCATGCATTTACATAATAAAATATAACACAGAACATTTATAATATCTGTACATTTGTACATCAAGTTCAGTCCACCCACTAATATCTGATAAAAGGATCACTACATCACATTACTTTCTTAGGTAGGAATTGATTCATAATGAGTCTACATCTTTTTGACTCTTTCTCTAAGCCCATTGAGCTGGTTGTCTATTTCATCTGGCAAGTCCACATTCACCTGTTCATCAAAGTATTTTCGAATTTCCTTTACTTCTTGTTGCCAGAAGTCTTTTGGTAAATTGAATATCGCGTCCATATCAACACTGTCTGTTAGTCCATCGAGGTTAATAGCGTCAGTTTTTGGGATAATCCCGATTGCACTGTCTTTCCCACAGTCATCGTTATTTACACGGCGGCAAATCCAGTCCAAAACACGAACATTCTCCCCGAATCCTGGCCACATGAATTTGTTGTCATCTCCCTTGCGGAACCAGTTGACGTGGAAAATCTTGGGAAGATGGCGGTTAGGTTTCTGCTCCATGCTCAGCCAGTGCTTCAGGTAGTCGCCAAAGTTGTAGCCGAAGAATGGTCTCATTGCAAATGGATCATGCATAATCACTTTACCTGGAATATACAATTTGCAACATCAATACAGTTAAACAAACTCCATATGAAAAAATGCAATTTGTACATGAAGAGTTTTTGATGTCAACTATAAATGAAATGGATTTTGACAGATTTATGTATAAATGGTTCAAACTATAACAAGTAAAAAAAATTTTTTATTTATTTTTCTACAGTCTGACACTGAATTATGTTACGTTACACGTGTAAGTGTTTACCTTTATGTTCGGCGGCTGCAGTTGACTCTGATCGCATAGCTGCACCCATGAATACACCATGGCGCCAGTTGAATGCCTCGTAGACCAATGGAACACCTGGAGCACAGGAAGATAACATGGTTAATTTATGTGAGTGAAATCCCATGATTATAATATATTACCATATAAGGGTGTATGAATCCCAGCATTACAGCATGTAAAGTAGTTCCTTTACATGAAGTAGATTCATCCTCCAAATGGAGGGTTTCATTTATTGAATAGGCCTATCAGAAAGAAGAGTCTGGAGCCCTTAGCTCTGGGGACTAAAATTGCAGATATAACTACAAAGTACAAGATTAATGCCTGAATGCTGGGTTCACTTAAAGATAAAGTATGCAAGCAAGGTTAAAAGGTTTGAAGCAAATCAGTAATTATTCTAAATAAAACAGCACCCCCAGGAAAGCAACAGCCATTGGTATTCAGTAGACATTTTATTTAAATGAATGCTTTCCCCTGAAATAGTTTCATAACCTGGAACAATTAAGCATTGCAAATAAAATAGAAAAATGATGATATAAATTCCTGAAATTCATGTATCAGACAAAAGCAATACCTAAACATGCATTAGAATCGGACCTCTGAAAAAGGCAAATAAATGATGCACCCATAACCAGCAAATACATTAGTCACTGTACCAAATATGTTCAACAGATCATATTATGCTGCAATGTTAAATACTGTATATTAATATCCAGATATGAAGAACATTTTTGGTACATGAAAAAAATTCAAAAAAACTTGTAGTAAATACAGTGGATCCACCTTTGGTAGTTAGGTTGCTATAGTAACAAGTTCCAGTTGCTACGGTTACTCATTCTAAACCCTTCGAATCCTGACCTAGTCTGGAAATCGAATGGGAAACAAAACTATTTCGGGGATACATACCTTCCTTATGTTGGATTCTAACTTAACTTGACTTCTTTTGTGTCCTCTAGCATGTTTTTACAGCTTCATTTGGTAATGTTTAGGCTGCAAATGAGGACAGTAGAAGTCGATTAATATAAATGAAAATAACAATCAAACATTAGAAATCCAACGTAAATCCAGAAATTCATTGCAGAAGCATCTAAAATAAACAGAGTCAAGTTTGTATAAAACACAATGTTGAGCTATTTGATTGTGCCACGAAACACATTTTGGGACAACCCAAATATATGTGAGCACAATCTAGTATGTTTAGCTCATTGTGGTTATATGTACAAACTCTCCTCATAACCATGGGTGTTTCAACTAGAGCATGTACAATATGTTTGCCATGAATCGATTTTCATAAATTTATAAAACAGCCAAAATCTGACATCAATTGCTACGAAATTTTTAGATTTTAAGATTCTTATGGCACATCTATGACATGCTACTAGCATAAGACACCCATGTAAAATATTCATTGCCAAGCAGCCCATGCATCCAGTCATAAAACTATAAATACCTTTAGGTCTACGGCCTCCAAAAATGATAGCATCTATGGGGACACCCTTAGCATCCTCCCAGAGTGGGTCCATGATGGGACACTGTGCTGCAGGGGTGCAAAACCTGGAGTTAGGGTGGGCAGCTGGTTTGCCTCCAGCCTTCCAGTTTTCCTCTCCGAGCCATGATGTGATCTTGGAATTTGGGTCAACTTCATTCTCCATGCCTTCCCAAAAGAACCCTCCATCACTGGTCTCGGCTACATTTGTAAATATAGTATTTGAGCGTACAGTTTTCATTGCATTAGGGTTGGTTGAGTCAGAGGTGCCTGGAGCAACCCCGAAGAATCCAGCTTCTGGGTTGATAGCACGTAGACGTCCCTCATCGTCAAATCGCATCCAGGCGATGTCATCTCCAACACACTCCACTTTCCAGCCTGGGAGGGAGGGGTTCATCATGGCTAGATTGGTTTTCCCGCAAGCAGATGGGAAGGCAGCAGCCACATATTTCTTCTGACCTTGTGGGTTGGTAATACCCAGGATCTAAAAACACAAACAATAAATCATATCAATTTTGTTTCAGTATTTGATTATTCAGTACTTAAAATATTTAACACTGAATGAAACCGTTTCAATAGATTTTAAAGCATTTTATCCTATTCATATAAAGTCAAAAGCAATTGTATTTGACTTCTGAACCATTTACTTTTAGTTAATGTACAATTTAGTGCAAAATTAGTTTTGTACAAAATAGTATATCTTAATGACTTATTATAAATAACAATTTAAAGATGGCAGCAGTAGTAGAATTTTATTTTTTCTCAGATTGATTAATTTCAGAACCTACCAGCATGTGCTCTGCCAGCCAACCCTCATCTCTCGCAATAATACTTCCTAGTCTCAAAGCAAAACATTTCTTCCCAAGTAGAGAATTGCCGCCATATCCACTTCCGAATGAACAGATCTCATTGTTTTCTGGTATATGTGCAACTATGGTCTTCTCTGGGTTGCAGGGCCAGTTGTTGACTGGGGGCTCTGAATTATAAAAAATAAATTCTTAATTCCAAAGAGAAATTAAAAAATTCTTTTTTGTTGGTTATATTTTACATAAGGAAAGAAGGTCTCAATCTCATTAGTGCTGAATCCAATGTATAAGACCAAGAAATTCCATATACTTCAATTAAATGATTTCATGGATTAATAAAATACATACAGATTAGTAAACAAAATGTAGCTTACTGGCCATGGGGAGGGGTTGTCCCACAGAGTGAAGTGCGTTAATGAAGTCACCATTTCCCAGAGTGTCTAGAACTTTCTGTCCCATTCTGGTCATGACTCGCATGCTGGCCACTACATAGGCAGAGTCTGTGCACTGTACACCGATCTTGGAGAGTGGTGACCCAACTGGACCCATACTGAATGGAATCACATACATTGTGCGACCTGGGAGACAAAATATATACATTCAAATGCAAATAAATTAAGAAAACAAACTGGGGATTATGTATTTGGGTTGTGAATTCAATTTACAGAATTTCCGAAATATGAATGCAACAAGTGGTTAGCAATTGCTGAATTGAGAATTCATGAAAATGAAACATGTGGGTCAAAACATGTTGACAAATTAGATTTCATTTTCAATTCGCATGCTTATCTTTATTTTAAGAATAAATATTTACATTGGTTCATAAAAATCTGTGACTTATGTTTCAAGTTACATAATTAGCACATATGTTCAGGATGTACATATTTATTTTATTCTTAGACAGGCATGGGCGTACATATGTCTGTTATTTATAATACCTGATAATTGAAAATAAACTCCATGTGTGATGTAAGAATAACTTTTTTTATTGAACTATGAATAAAAATTGTATTAACACAAAGCTCACCTTTCATACAGCCTGGAAATCTGTCATTGAGTGAATTTTGGAGTTTTTCGGGAGACATCCAATTACCCAGGGTGCCTTTGACGCCATCCTTGGGGGTTGGGATTGTGTCACGTTTTTTAGGGGTTGATATAAAAGTTTTGCTCTCAACTCTTGCAACATCAGCGGGGTCAGTCTTGGCCAACCAACTAAAAGTAAAAGTACATTGATGTCTAAAGATTTGAAAATTAAATCTTTATGGAAAATAATAATTTATTTAATAGTAGACACTGAATTATCAATTAAAGAATTGAAGTAAAAAATCATTTAATTAATTAGTTAACATGAATTAAGATTCCAATAATTTTTTCTCAAAGCTGTTCTTAGGTTTAATTCATTTTAGTAATTTAAATAAGAATAATTATTGGAATTATTTCAATCAAAATAAAATAATTATGACTGAAAAATTCACAAAGAATAAAAACAAAAGAATAATGACTGAATGTAAAATTTTAAATTAATACCCAATGAATGGATGAGACACACCTTCAAATATTAAGTATTTTGAGGACAACTGAAACTTCCTTGAAAGGGGTGTGTTAAATATTACTAATGTGGGTTTGTTCATTTTTAAAGCTTCTGATTGGCTGTTAAAGTTAATCCTTATTCAATATAAATGTATTTTTTCACATCAAACAACATACAATTATTTCAGCCTAGAGCTTCATGAATGCACGAATTATGTAATTTTTTTGAATTTATACATAAGTGTGTTGTCCTGAGGTGAACACCATGTCATATAAAATGGTTTACATTAACAAATATTATGTCACTTTTGGCAAAAAAGAAACATACACGTACATGTACATGTAATTTTAAACCTGAACATGGAAAGGTTTAAACCTAATAAATCAGTACCTGTTAACCATTTATTGTATTACTTAGCAGGATGGACATAATTATAAACCATGTTGTTATTGTCAGAACTCTTCAATGAAACTCACCTCTTTAAGGATAAATATTGAAAATATCTAGCATATACACTTCCCTTCAAAAGTTTGGTAACAAAACTCCATCACTGAACCACACTTCACATTCTGTTTGTTTGTTGATTTAAAAAAACCAATCAAACTATTTTCCAGCCTAATGTATTTCAGGATTTAAAATTAAATTCCAAAAACAAAAAGGGTTTAAAAGTCTTTCAAATCGGGATGTAACATGGTTACCAAACTTTTGGAGGGGAGTGTGCATGATGTTTTAGTATTGAGTGGTCATTCAAGTTATAATAAATAGAAGAAACTATAATTAATGTACCAGCTGGGGTCAGTTATTAGAAAATTGTGATGGCAGCTTGAGATGATAAACAAATGTTCATTTTCTAATGATCGGAAGTTAACCCAAGTCATGTGGAGCTGAAGATTTCATCAGCATCAATATTATTAGTTGACGAGAATGTCTTGTGATATGTGGGCATATCCATTTATTAAGTTGTTTCCAGATGGGGTTCTGCGTCACAGATATTGATTTTTTGCAAATAAACTCAATATTAGCATTCAATGCGTCATTAGGATTTCATCATACAATTCCATTGATATAAAACAATAATAACCCCACCTATTCAAAAACTTCAAATGATTTTTAAAAACTCTGCATTCCTTGTAAACCCAAAGTATAAAAAAATCTGGATAAAATAACGACATTGAAAATACAATTTAATTAGTAATAATTGTAATTACCAGTTTTCATATTTTGACAGTGGTTTAATGACTCCCTCCTTCTCTAACATCTTCAATAGACTTGTATTCTCCGTTTCTGACCCGTCGCAAATATGTATGGCTGATGGTTGACATATCATGGCATTTTCCTCGACATAGTTCCTGACTTTTGGAGCGAGTTTGTCCATGTCCCCATGTATGACATTTAGGGATGCCAGGTTGGCCTCAACGGCTGTTTTCGTACTGTGGGCTAACCTCGCCTGCTTGAGAAATGTCACTGGCAACCTGCAGAAAAATATTTTATTACAGATTGCTGTATTTACATTAAACTTAATTAAACAAAAATTTAGCATAAAATTAATATGAATCAGATTTCACCTACAAATCATGATAATATCTTGAAACATCATATCATATCAATGTAAGGTGGAAAATTATTTACAGAAATAAATATGCAATCATTGTGGAATACATGTAACATCAAATTATCTTGATTTCATCAGTATTAAGTTTGCTAAATGTTTACACCTTAAAACACTCAGTAAAAGGTTCTCAGAAAATATGACAATTCTGCTCACACGTTTGAAATAAGCTGAAACAGAAAAGAAACACCTGAAAAGAAATGAATTTGTTTGTAAATTCCATGGACTCTACTGATAGAGCCCATGTAAATTCTAAAACCAAAATACTCACTGTTCTGGTACACTTGTAGTTTCGATTCTACCCATCTTTCCTTTTTAAATATGTGTTTAATAAATATAATATAAAAATATGAGATCAATTCCTTTTTGATTAATAACAGAATCTGTTATTTGTTATAAGTTTATAGTCCTGAAATCTTTGTGAAATTTGTGTTGATTTCTGAATGCAGAATCTGTTAGATTCATTAAAACTCCTTCACAAAACTCTTTCTTCAAAATCTCAGCTAAATAATTCAATTTCAACAAACTATAGATCTTCCCCATCTAACTCTCTTCAGAGAAGTGATCCTTTTGCCAGTTTCCTCAACTGATGCCAAGCACATGGGGCTCATGTAAATATATATGGGAGTGCAAGAAATGATCAATTCCTATTGGCTAAAATTATGTTCAATGATGACATCATAGAGGTGTGTGGCCGAAATACTCCTCTCTGATTGGCTAACAATGGCTGCATCATCAATGTTGCTCTGACACAACCTGTAAACAAGGTCATGGAACAGCTGATTGAGTGCATATCCAGTGAAAACAAGTTTAAATCCCCAGGATCTAAATCCAGAGCGAAATGAGTCAACATTTTGACTTTGGGGAAACACCTCCACATGACAAAGGGTCACCTTGGATATTGGACCCCTAAGAATATCTTGAAAAAGCAATTTTTTATTAAAAATACAAAAGTACAAATTCAGCTGGTTGCTTAAGATTGTCAATTATCCCCAAGAAGAGGATTAATGAAACCTTAAGTAATTAATTGGATCATCACCCCAAATTGAACCTGAATATTAATTCTCTCATACATGTATTTAGTTAAAGATGAAATATTTTTTTATTAACTGCAAATTAATTGATTTACTGTATGAAAGTTAATTATTACTAAATGGAATTTCCAGTGTTTTCTCTTCAAAAATATTTTTATGATTTGCCAATTAAATTCAATTAAATCTCCAGACCTGCAAGCCCTTAACTCTACACCCCCCCCCTTCAAACCAAATCCTGCAGAAAACCTGTTCACCTTGCTGCTGCATACTGCAATCCACTTTTAATCATGTGATGCAGCATCATGGATATTGCATCAGCAAGTTAACAGATCAAGGCCTTCTAGGGACTAAATCTAGTTTGCAAAACAACTTCATGATTTCCTTGGGTTTATGTGAAGGTTGTAAATTAATACATAAATCTCTTCAATTATTCAGGCCCCTTGATACTCTGGGTATTGCATCAGCTGATTTTGAATGAGCAATGTGAATGTTAAACAATCAAGCAAGCTTATTCAATAAGTAGGTCTTAAGATGTCATGTGACCAGTTAGTAACATTGGAATTTCCAATATTGCATCATCCACTATCAGAATTTTGCATTCAATGCAATTGCAATACCAATGTGTACTAAGACATGCTGAAATGATGTTTGGGAGGGGAAGACACTTTCTGGAAGATAACTATTTAGAGTGACACAAAAGTACATCTATAGAGAGGTGACACTTAAGAACACCCATCTGGCCTGAATGACAAGTCACCTCTAACTAAAAATACAGACTGACTTTTAGACTTATTTAAACAACATGTAAAGTCCAAAACTGAGTCCAACAACCTACTACTTGACTTATTAATTCTGGATTATCCTTTTGTTGAAGCGTGACTCACCCTGGGTATAATTATAGAATCACTATTTAGAGGGGGAGGGGGGGGGGTAATTTTAGAACCCCTGCACATTTTTGCAGTAGTTGTTGGCCCACTTCCTTAAAAATGATATGTTGGAGGGGGATTGGTGTTGAGCAGGCCTACCTTAGGAGGGGATATATTTCTGTTGCTTCGTAAATGTTGCTCCTTGTATTTTCTGAAAGCTATACCAAAACACAATTGCAAGTTCTCCTGAAAAATTGTTACCAGTACAAAAGTATTTTCGAACATTATTACTTCTGGCCTCAATCATTAGGACTTATTTGGTCAAATATATTCAACTCCAGAATTTCTTGTTTTGCAATGCAGTTTTCTGCTATACAGTTACATCCAAAGAAAAAATATTGTACTCTAAAAGAAAAAATACCCTTTTTGTTTAGCAGTTCTTGTAAATACTCGAAAATACTGTTAGTCATAAACAATGACAGAGAGAAATATTCTTAATTCATTTGTTTCTGCAAAAAGGGTTGTTTGCATACAACAAGGTGAAACCAGTCACCAAATATGAAAAAGTCTTGTATCAATAAAAGTTATTTAGTATTGATTTATGAGCTCTAAGTATTTTAGCAATATTCAATGGATAAGGAACATGGACAGAGGGGGCGGGGGGGATTTTTTGTGTTAAAGCTTCCTGAAATCATTGGATGCCCAAAAGCATTGGGGAAGTTTAGAATCTGGGGCGGGGGGTATATTTTGAATCTTACTGTGAAATGAAATCACTCGATGCCAACAAGCATTCAGGTCAGGGGTAGGATTTTGGGACGGATTTGTGTATTAGCTTTAAGATAAAAAATCATCTGATGCTTTGAAGCATGGTCAAATTTGTATTTAATGCAAAGAAAAACTTTTACCCAGTTATCTCCCATCAGGTAAGGCCAGGTACCATTCGGGATAAATATTTACCACTCAGTTAAAGCGTGAATGATTTCCCTTAAAGAATGTTGACTTACGTCTTATCTCAGGTAAACAGGTAACAAGGCCAAGGTGAAATATTCTAGATATCTCCTGCTTTACGCAGGAGTTTTCAGTTACAATAAACGTACTGTATAGTCTTCTAGCCTTTAAAGCAGTGATGACGTTAAGTATGTTAAGCACACCGCATATTCCTCTAGCCTTAAAAGCTACGATGATGTCAGAAACTAGGCTTCAGTTTACTTCCATTGATGCACTTATATAATGCTAGAAATTGGAGATATATCAATTTGTGATTAAAAGAACTATGTTATCTATTTTTATTTCGTTGTTGATAATTATGTTTTTTTATTAACATCAAATGTGATCCAGGTTAATAATAAAGTATTAATTGTTTATTGACATAAATCATCCACTGATCACTCGTTTGACCTCATTCTATCAACAAGGAACCGGCACATGTGCACGCAAAACGCTCATGTTTAGTTGAGATCAGATTCTCCCAGTTCCTTGTTGACAAATACTTCAAATATTTTAAATATAAAATGAAACTTATTGATAAATAAATAAGGTCTAGCAGGTTAGATGTACGTTAAACAGGTGTAGATCAGGTTATATCAGGATGTATTCTTTTCAATACATTTGATGAATGCTGAATATTTTTAGTGATATTTGGTAGAAAAAATGAATTGATAAGAACTACTGGTACACAGAGGCAATACAGGGGATTATATAGAAATCTTGCAAACATAACATTAACATTACCCAATAATCAATCATACCTACATGTATTTATCTTTTTTTTTTGAGGGGGGGGGGGGGGCGTCATTATGAAACATCCTGCACATTTAACATTCAGCTCAGGAACTTTCGTTCTGATATTTTTCTATTGTCCCCATTTTCAATAGTCTTCCCTGGCTCTAAAAGTTTCATTCTTACATGGCTTTAGTTTTTATACTCTATAAAAAAGTTAAAAATCAATGTACTTGTACTTGTCCATCAATTAAAAGGGTAATTAAAAGGAAAATTGATGATGAATTTATTATTTGGAGATCCCCCTCCAGGGTTTGCATGTCAGTGAGGACAAAATACTCTTCTAATGAAGATTTAACAAGAGAGGTCTTAAGACGATGACCCGAGCTACTGGATCGGGCATTTACTTTGGACTGGCCTAATTCTACCATATTTTACAAGTAGCCAGGTGATTTCTGAGGTAAACAACATTTTATCAACCTGTTTCACTGCATGACCTTGTCAGCAAGGTTCTTATCAAAACAGCATTCTGCTCTACCTGAATCGCTTATATAGTAGGGGATTTATTATGGCTTTTTCTTCCTTGCCTTGTTAAAATTAATGCCAATGCATTTTATTTGAATAAAATCGAGCACTTTTACTCAGTAATGTAAATTGTAATGCATATATGTTATATTATATATTTTTTATGTTTATTTTGAAGAAGGAAATTGATAATTTTCAAGAGACCAATAAATAATTTGTTTCTATTTTGATAAACAAGGAAGTGGAATTGATGGACAAACAGATAGGTGAGGATGTATTCAAATTGCTGAAGAATGTGATGAAAGTGCCTAGAGGATTAGCTGCTGTTCAAGCCGCTAGTTATGGCCATACCAACCACTAACAATCAGTTGTAAACCTGTCAAATTTTATGATACAAACAAAGCTGAAGTTTCTTAGGTAATTCCGGAAATGATTTGTCTTTACAATAAGATATGACATATTATGTAAAATTAAATACTTTTTGCTGTAGAAGGGGATGCCATTGCTTGATGAGAGGGTTATTGCAATAACGCAGATGCGAGTAGGTAGTTACCAGATTCACCACCAGGTGGCTCGTTCGGGTCAGATAGCATGGCGGGTATAGTAGAAAGTTCCCTTTAACTTAAATTACATTTATTAGCGTGGTTCAATTTTCATATAACCCTTATGTATCTAATAGTTATGCAAATTAAAATATGTCCAGTAAAAGAAAAATGTTATCTGTCCAATACAAGAAAAGATATTTCACTTTTTGTGATTTTCTAACATGGGGTCTATGGGGAATCAACCCGAACAAGAAGTCACATTTTCAAAAAAAATTAAATTTTCAAAGTTGATCGACAATTTTCGAAACCATATTTCTAGATGTACATTTAAATGCAGATTTCAAATATGACATCACTTTGACTGAATTTTGAATATTAATGACGTAAATCAAGATTATTTCTACTCGCATGTAGTCTATTATTTATGAATTTGTAGTCTTGTATAACAGCTCCCAAGTTCTCCAACTCAAAATAAGATAGGGGGTGGAGATGTAGGGAGGACGAAGAGGTTCATAAGGGCTTGAAACAAGATTTCTGATTTTGCACATCCCTTTTATGGATTCTCAGGTCCATAACCCTAACTTCAAGGTAAGGTATGTTTGATAGCTACCATTTCCTAAACAGCTTACTCCCCCCCCTTTTATCCTTCTCTCTAATATATTGCCAGGTAAAGAAAGTGAAGGTGGCGGGGGGGGGGGGGTGGATACAGTCTTTGAGCAAGACTAAGCCCTCAAGTTTACTCGATTGCACTTAACTCAGATTACAAGATCATACCATAAACTGCTAGAAGAATGTACTATAATTCTCAAAGTTCATTCACCTTCAGCGGCCTTCAGTAGCACTGAACTGGTTTATTGATGTTAAGTGGTATTGATTTATGTGGTAAGTCTTGCAGCAAGTCCCTGTCTTTCTCCTTTTCCCCCATTGGGGAAATACATATTGAGGCAGGGGCAAAAGTTTGATACAAGACTTCGTATGGTCAAAGAAAAGGGTCCAAAAATGAGGCCATCAATCAACA